GGCAACCGGTGGGCCATCACGCACGACATTGCCGCCAACGTCGTCCAAGTCGACGCATTCCGCCACCACGTCCGGCTTCGCAACACTCGCGCCGGCCACGTCGCGGCGATCCAGCGCTTGCTCCACCAGCTCTTCCCCCAGTCTAGTCCACCACGCTAATCCAGTGGACATGTCGAATGGCTCGTTCTCGAACGTCCGGTGGCATGCGGGCGAGCCGACTGAACTTCTTGCCCTTGGTTCAAGGGCAAGAAGTTCAGTGGACCCACCTGTCGGGTCAGGTGCATGCGCTGGCATATCCCAGCACGATTGAAGCGGGGTCGCGCCAAGGGGACAGAAATGGGCGTCCATCCATCGAGACAGCGTGCGAAAGGTACGTGGGTGAATGGTTGATAAATAGCCGAGCTACCAGATGTGGAATCAATTCCGGAGCTGCCGCCGTTGACGCAACAATGGGTGCGACATGCTCCTGCGCAGGAGGTCGTCGTCCTTGTCACGCTGCTTTGCCCAAGTGTTGGTGGCGGGATGCTCACGAAGACTATTCTGGTGCATGGTGCGCGTGCACTGCGTCACAAGCCTCTCGATGTCGTCCAGCGTCGTCGCAGGCTGTAGTAGTAGTGGGGCTGTCGACATGGTTCGGTCCGTCCGCTTACCCATCGAGTGGGTAGTGCTGTGGATCTTGGGGTTCATCCACGGGACTGGATCAATGCGCATGGGCGGCGCATACTCGAGCGGTCGGCATGCGGCCGCCATGGCGTCTACGACGTGAAACTTGTTCTACATCGTCGAACGTGAGGTCGCCGTGAGCCGCACGCTTTCAGCCCCTTCCACGGCGCTAGACACCGGCAACGCACCTGAAACTGCGGCAGGAGGAGCCCCAGGTCGGCCACGAGCACTTGGGACGACAACGGCTTTGTCCGGACGTGGCGAAACTGCGTCACCGTCATGGGGGTCATCTTCGGTATCACCGCGCCTGGCAAGGCATGCTCAGGCGATTTGAATCGGTGGACGGCGGAGGCCACGTACTGCTCGTCGACCTTCGCAGCGTTCCGCCGACGCCGTCGTCCGTGCCATCATATTCACCATGTTGCGCCGACGTGGCGGGATGCAGCACAATACACTGGGACGGACGGTTCTTGGTGGCGTCGCGACTCTCCATGTGCTGGAGGCGGCTGAGGCGGCGCTCCGAGATGCTCGCTTTCGACGCGCCGCCGTGCTTGTCGACGTGGGTGGTCAGTTTACGCAGCGTCGATTGAAAAAACGCAACGTAGTCGTGCAGCAAGTCGGAAGGAACGCACTAGACACACCACTCTGCCGTGAAGAACACACGGGGGCAGAGAAGTGCCAATCGACTAGAGGCGCACCAGGTACCCGAGCTGGAAGATGAGCTGATGCATGTCCATCTCGGTGAGCGGCGGGTCGGCCGCCGCGACCCACTTGTCCCATTTGCACCACTTGCATCGCATGAGGATTTTGACGCCGCTTTGTTGTAAGTTGGGAGTGCGCGCCTCGAGCAGGACGGACGCCAGCCCAGAGTACATGGCCGTGAGCTGGCACGGAGGCGTTAGCGCCACCATTTGAAATGTCTAGCGCGCACCATGGACGGCGTCATTAGCGCTGCGCCGTGTGAGATCGCGCGCCACCTACACGAATGGTGGTCGTGCGCGGCGCCACGTGGATGACATACCATTCGGCCAGGCAACGCTCGATGGAAGGCAAACAAATGAGAAAATTCATTTGGACGACAGACTCGGCCATGAACTCGAGCAGCTGCGGCACGTCGCTCGAACGACACACGGGGCTCTTGACGAACGGCGAGTTGGTCATTTCGAGCTGGGCGACCTGCGGCGCGAGCTGTTCCTCCTCTTTCTTCCACGAGTCCAACGAACGGAGGTTACCCACAAAATGGATCATCGATTCCCGAAGCGGACATCCCGCCACGTGCGCCGCCTTGACGGCTTTCTTCTTTGGCGGCGATGGTGGCACGTCCTTGGTCATTCCACTGATCCATCCAATTCACGACGTGTCATGATCTATTTATATATATGCACATGTAGGAAACGGTGTCGAAGAGGCACCCAAGCGGGGCAGACCGGCGCAGCAACGCGGCAAGGACTACAGTTCGAGGAGCGGCGATAGCTCGTGGTGCCTCGACAGCAATTAGCAGCGGACCGCGCCCGGCAACATCATGACGTTCGTCGCTGGTCGCGGCAAACCGGCGGTGGAGGGGGTGGCATGTTGCCGAGGATGCGTTTGTGTCGATATCTTACATTACAGGATTGAGTCCGAGTGGGAAGTGTTTGTGCTACTGGGGGTAGTTGCTGGATTCGACAGGACTGCATCAACGTCTTCGGGGGTCATGCCTGCCTGCAGCAGCTCGTGTCGCGCTTTCGCTTGGGCGACCTTGAGCTGCAACTCTGCTTCCTGAGCTTTCGCCAGCAGTAGCCGCCGATTGATTTGGGCTTCCTCTTCTTGCCGCGCCAGCTTTTGATCGATCCGAGCGTTTTTCTGCTCCTCCAATGCCATGCGGCGGCGTTCCATGTCCCATCGATGCTCCATGTCTCGACGAAGCAGCTCCTTGTCCTCCTTGTCGGATATACCCAACGTGCTGCTTCCGTTGCTTCCTCCCTTTGTGGTGTATTTTGTTGACTTTTTCTCTCCTTTGCCGTACGATCGGAATACCTTGGCCGGCCGTGGGCTCGTCGTGTCGTCTGGGACGTAGTCGCTGACAAATCTGCACTCGCTCAAGTGGCGGTGCATGTCTTGAATGCGCGACACAATCGGGTGTGGCGCTGGAATGTTGGACTCGCTCGGATCCGCGGCACCATGTTCGACGTATGCAGCGCGACAGCTCTTGCACTCGACATACCAGTAGTTGTGGTACTTGCCCGCATCTTTGAGCTTGGTAAAGTACTGCCAGATGCCTTCGTTCCTAGGTGGGCCCCGGCCTCGTTTCGTAGCTGGAACGGGAGGGTCCACCGCGGCCTTCGGCGCATCCATCGTCACAGCGCGGCCCAAGCGAGAATGCTGCTGGAAGGTGATCCGGAAAATTCCCAACACAGCGATTTGATTGGTTGATGGAACATATGACGGTAGGATAAACAACAAAGACACGTTGTAACATATTATAATACATTGTAATACTCCATGCTAGTACGAAGACGAAATATTATAATTCATCGGAATCAACACGAATTATGAAAACCAGCGCCCGGCCGATCGGCAGCACATGCAGGACAGTCGCCACACCCACCAGGACGCGGCCCTTGCGCCGGCGCCAGCGCACGACACTCGCCCCAGCGTCACTGGTATTGCCACCGAGGATGAGTACTTTGAGATCGCCAAGTCGTACGGCATCATGAAGCAAATGGGCACGACACTCAGTTCGGCCCAAACGGCATTTCCCACCGACGCCGACCTCACCGCTCGAGTGTCTGGGTTCGCCCACACGACAGGGTTTGTCTTCAAAACAGGAACCACTGGCGGGACCACTCGCGTGTACACGTGCAAGTCGTCGCCGAATTGTCCGTTCCTCATCACGGTCAACATCAGCAAGTCGACTGGGATCACGCGAATCTCGCGGCGATTGAATTGCTTTCGACACAACCATCCACTGGGTCTGTCGGCGCCAGGATTCCAGTGGGGAGAAATCGAACACCCTCTTCCTCCAAAGACATCGAGTGTCGCCTTGGCACACGATGCAAATGACGACGGCCACACGATCGCGCAGGAACCGTCGCCACCCCCTGTCTTGTCAGAAGCCGAGTACTTTGCCACAGCGCGCGCATTGGGACTGTGCAAGCGTGCTGGTCCAACGTCCGTCAAGCCCGTCTCGAAGGTCTTCAAAACCAAAGAAGATCTCCTCGCCCGCATCGTGTTTTTGGCCGTCAAGGTCGGATTTCAGCTCAAACATCGCGACGGCACGTTCCAGTACTCGTGCAAGTCGGTTCAGGACTGTCCTTTCACGCTCTCTGTAAACGTGCGGCCATCGGGGACCGCCAAAATGTCGGAGAAGCTCTGCGTGTTTCCTCACAACCATCCGTTTGGAGTCCTGAACAAACCCGAGACGGGCAAAAACACAACCCTCAACTCGGCTATCGTACGGGATCGTCCTCGCCGTCGTCGAGCATGGGATTCACGTGTCGTTGTAGATTGCCCACAGCATCGCCGCGTCCGGCATGGACTGGTTCCGCGCGACCCACGTCGACTTCCGCAACCACTGCATCGCGACGTTTGGGGTGCCGATCGGGCCGACGCGGTCGACGACCGTGCGGCGAGAGCTCGAGAGTCCCAACATTGAAATACACGCGGAAAGGTTCCGCCAAATGGACATGGCCATGCGCGCCGCCGTGGACCGCGTTCGCGCTACGCTGGCGGCCAACCCGACGCCCCCGTCCACGGAAGACATTCGTATCATGCGGCAAGAGATGCATCATCGATGGGCCATAGACCGGCGAAAACTCGCACTTGAGGAGCAGGCCCACATGCGTGCCGAAGAAGAGGCGCGGCTGATGCAACGGGCGGCCGGCGCCAAACTCCGCGAGGCCGAAATCGCCCTCAAGGTTGCGCTGGCGAAGGCCAGGCATGAACTCACTACGCTCGGCCTCACGCCCGACGACATTGACGCGACGCTAACCCTTGAATGAACTTGTAATCAAGGACGTGTTGTAGCAATAGAACTGCCTACGTGCATTCAAATTGTGACTTCGTGACGAGAACGCCGTCGTACCGACGGAAGTCGTCGAAGCCGCTTGGATGAACGCCTATGTGCCTCGAAGCATGCACATGCGTCGCTCCTCGGCAACTCTCATCATCCTCGTCCTCACTTCAAAACGCCAGGCCAATATGCTCCGTCGTCGTCCTCTCCATGGCGTCTCGGAATCAGCCGTCCACCTCGCCCGAAAGAAAAAGAATTACCCATTCTTGGGATCGAACCAGGGGTGAATTGCTATCTTGTGTACAAGTAACATTTGACGGCCTTCAGGAACCCCTTCGGGGGTCATCCGTAAAAATTGGAACGATACAGAGAAGATTAGCATGGCCCCTGCGCAAGGATGACACGCATAAATCGAGAAGTATCGCACTTTTTTGCCAATTCTTTTTGCCAGCGTTCCGTCGAACTGGACGTGATGTGAGCGCCCCAGCAGTTTGACGCAGTAGCACTGCCGTTCGCCAGACGGCGACGGTGGCAGTGCTTGCTGTGTGTGTGGAATCTCGAGTGGTGGTGGATTGGAGCATGGGATTGGACAAAACGAGGCCTTCACGACGATTCCGTCGATATGATTGGATTAAAAGAATCTATGTTATCCGGATGGTAAAGTCGACAAGGTGGCGACGATGTCCACGGGCGACGACACCGAGCGCTTCCTCGACATGGCAAAGTCCCTCGGACTTGTCGAGGAGACGTCGTCAGGGCTGGCATGCCCAGCGGCACTGCTTGATAGCAAAGACGCGATGGCGGAGAAAGTCATGCAGCTGTCTGTCCAATATCGCTTCCAATTGCGCCAGCGTCATGTGGCGGACACTGTCAGCTACTCGTGCAAGTCGTTCCCGGAATGCCCATTCTTCGTGCGTGGCCGAGTACTCCAGTCGGGTCAAGTCAAGCTTATCAAGTCGGATTTCACGCACAACCACGCGTTGGGAGTCCAGAACCTGCCACGCAACTCGAGGAACTCGCTGCTGAACTCCCGAACTGTGCGTAAAGCAACCACTCGTTCCCTCGCCGTCTTACATCTTGATGCAGCTGGCACAGAGCGTCCTAAATGCAGGCATCGACTACGTAAACGCCTCGGCATCGGACCTTCAACAGCACATCAAGGCGGTGTTTGGCACCGACGTGTCGACTTCCCGCGTGTATAAACTCAAGAAGGTTCTCGAGAGCGGCGTCATGGGGAACGACGTAAACCAGTTTGTCAAGATGTCGAGCGGCCCGCCCATGAAGCGCAAGTTGAGCGATGAAGACGAGTCGGAAGACGACGACGACGACGACGACGATTATCGACCGTTGCCGACGGACGTCGAGCGGGAGAAGGACATGTTGAAGCGTCAGGATCGCGAACATCGATGGGAAATGGAACGGAGGCGCATGCGCATGCACGAAATCACAAACATGCGTCTGGAAAGCGAGGCCAAAGTGACCCGCCGAATCCTTGAACTGCAGGCACAAGTGGCCGAGATCCAGGCCAAAGTGGCCCACGCAAGGGCCCGTCACGAGCTGGTTCAAGTTGGCATCGCACCGGACCAAGTTCATATGTTGCTGTAGCGAGAAAAATGCCGTAGGATATCTATGCGAATTGTGTGGCGTCTTTGGGGCAGTCTGTCGAGGCCACGACGTGGCTGGAAGTTTCCAATGCCACGGCGGTCATGCTCACTTGGCAAGTACAAAGGAACGGATCCACGCTGTGCAAACTCTGCCTGACGCCACGATCATCTCCATGCAGCGTCGTCACGGTGACGAAAGTCTTGGGTCAAGCCAACATCGTTCGAAGCACGACAAGCACGATGCTCTCGCGCGCTGACATTCATCACAAATGGCTAGCTACCTTTTGCACTGGTGTTACACGACCAAAAGCGCCAACTGGACTCACGAACGCCTTTATCAAGTGAACGTCCGCGGCTGCGACGTCCTCCTGATCGACCCGTGCGTGTTGATCGCTGGTGCGGTCGAGGCAGTGTGCGGCGATGGGTCGCGACTGACGGACATCTTGGAGTCCGGGCGGTGGGTCGACGCAACGCTTCCCACGGTCGAGCCGCTCGCCGTGCTTTCTTCGATCTCCCGCACCGCCGCGATTGTCGTGTTTTGGTAGTATTCGTACGGGTCGGTCCGATTGCACAAGTAGGGCTCGAGGAGGTACCTACCACAAGGTGGTTACGACGAATCTCGCCAACATGTTTGCGATCTCACCGCAAGACAAAGCCCACGACGTTGCTCCACGCGTCGGCGACCATGATGGACGCTTCGTCGCCCATCCAGTACATGATGACTTCAATGCACGTCATCGTGTACGCGGCAAAGTGGTGCGGCCGCACGAGCGAATACGACCGGTGTTTGTGGCCGAGGAACCGGCATCGATTCTGCATGTTCGCGACGCTCTCGGGCGAGTCGGCGCGCATGTTTAGCATGAACATGAGCGCTTTGATCAGAACTTCGGCACGCTCCTTGCTGTTTGCAAACACAACGCGGAACGTCGAGTCGCGCTGGAACAACCGGTAGAAGAACTCGTCGTAAAACAACACGATGCCAGGTTTCCCATAACTCTTCATCTTGTCCGTGGCGGCGGTGCGAACCTTGTCCCACGACCGCGCGCACGTTTCGATGCGCGCTTTGGTCAAGACTGGGAGGAGCGGGAGCTGCGGCGGCATGTAGTGCTGCACTTCGTGCTCATGGGCGACCCCGAACGAGTACTCGGTCAGCATGTCCAAGTCGACGTCTTCGCTCGCCTGTGCGCGCAAGTGAATCACCTTGGCCTGTTCGCGGTTTGCTCTGGAAGATGAAGCCCGGTTGCCCATTTCCCGCGATTTTGAAACGAGTGACTTTGAGCGTCACTTCGTCGTCACGTGTAACTGTTCGGGTCGTCGTCCGTTGAAACCGCCGTGTAACTCCCTCGCCCCCCCGCGAGCCCCCGCAACGGAGCAGTTGGATGGACCCATGAATACCTACCTTGCTGCATTCGTGTGCGTCCGTGGCATGCCAGAAAGCTGCCAACAGCCTCTCCCGGTGCGGCGCACCCGTCACGGGATGCCCCAACTACTGGCGTATGGACGTGGACCGCATCGAACGACTCACCACGAAGCGACGAGATGACTGTCAAAGGTCGAACAATATGTAGAAGAAGGATGAGTGAGACTCGGTAACGTCAGCAGACTGGCATGCGCAGCTGGCATTGGCATGACGAGGCCAGGAGCAACGAACGGCGCTGGTCGCTCAGTTGGGACGTCGCCAGAAGGCAGCATGCGACGGCGACACGAGTGCTTAAATATCACGATGCTAGAACGCTAGTGCAGCAGCTCATCGATTTCCGACGGAGACAAGCCCGCTTGCTCGAGCTCGTGCTTCGCCTTGGCCTTGGCCACCTTGAGCTGAAGCTCGGCCTCCGTTGCCTTGGCCAGCAAAATGCGCTCGTTCAACATGGCTTCGCGCTGGACGCGTTCGTGAGTCTGCTTTTCGATGAGCAGCCGCTCCCGCTCCATGTCCCATCGATGCTGTATTTCTTGGCGCCGCAACGACTCGGGAACTTCCATGGGTGGGACGGACGAACTGTACCGAGCATTTCCACCAGGGTTCGCGCCGTCGAGGGGAAGAAGTTGCATGCTGCTGTCGACGGATACGCTACTGGTAGCTGACGCTTTGGGGGTTCGCTTCTTGTACCCTCGAATAATGATCGGCATCGACGATGGTGGGACGTCCCCGAGTTGTCCATTTGCGAGTAGTTGTGTGTGTTGTTCCATGGCAGCGGGGGGATGAACTTCAAGTGATGGATGTCGATGAATGAAGCGACGGTACCATCCTTCGCCCAACGATGCGTCGGGCTTGAGTTGCTTGATCAACTCATTGGCGCGCTCAATGATTTCCTTCCTGCTGACAGGGTTCCCCGCAGTCTGCATCTCCAGCATCCACGCCAGCAGTTCTTGTTCGTAGTTGACGGCCAAACTTGGTTTGGACCCGCGTTTCTTCTTCTCGGGCACGACTCCACGCTTTCGTTCACGGACGCGCTGCATCAACGTTCTGTACGGAATCCCTGTGAGCTGGCTCACGTTGATGCCTCGCTCTTTGTCTTCAACTATCCTGCTCACAGCCTGCATGAGCTCGGCTTCCGAATACAGCCCGCGCCGCAGTCGCGCCCCGCGGCCCATCCGCACGAGAAGCAAACGGCAAGAAAAGCTGGCTATTATTTCTGCGGCAATTAAAACGAAGTCTTTCAAAACAAACCTGATATTTGTATGAAATTTAATTCATCTTCACTGGTTCAATGAAACCATTTGGTTGGTAGAAATATTTGACTTTACATCCAATAGTAACTTACCGTTCGAGATCTGCAGGAGAGCAGATACAGAAGCATGAGTGTCATGACGAGCATGTGGACGCAGACCTTGGCGCAGGCGTCGCGCATCGAAGAGCGCGCGCACTTTCTCTTCACGCCGCATGTAGAGAGCGACATCAAGCACGTTGTCAAGAAGAACTTAGCGCACCAGTCCCGCGACGTATCGGGATGGGACTTTGAGAAGAAGGTGAGCGTTTTGGCCGAGCTTCAAGAAATGATCGAAGCACCATCCTTCAAATACGTCGACTGGGGAGAGAGTGTTCCTGCAAAGGTCAAAGGCATCGCGCTGTTGCCGCTCGCCCTAGGTCAAGAAGCGCTTTTGGACCTTTGGACGTACATCATGGAATTCTGCGACGTTGTGCCGGTGCGAACAGGTGCGCGCGGGTTGTTCCTCCGGTTGGCTGGCTGCATCTGCCGCCGTCTCGAGTTCGTCAACGGTGTCGAGATGAATGGAATGCCGTTGAAGATGGATCCAACGAGTACGCTATCTCTCTCTCTGCTCGACGATCTCGACCTCACCACGTCATTCCAGTTGAAGCACGGTACTGTTGTCTCCTCGCGCAATGTCTCCAGTACTGCGCCACAAAGCTCGCGAAAAGCCGCATCCTTACACAAGACCATGCGTATTTTTCGTCGCACATATACACGGCAGCCTTTTATCGATGTCCGTCGGTCGCGGCGCCGTTGATCTTGCAAACGATTGAAGCGTACTCGGCGCAACTGGACGATACAGACACAACGGCCAAGGGATCCAAGCACGGCTGTTCCAGCGACCTCACGACCGTTGCCCATTGTTGGCTATTACCGCGAGGTACGATTCCTCCGCGCAAAGTAGTTGAGAGGTGCGACGACATGGTAGAGTCGACGAAATCTCCATGTTCGTCCGCACGCACAACGGAGCATGAAGAAGCACCCGCATTGGTGGAGAACCGGACTCAACAACCAGAAGATCACCCACGTAGCCACGACGAAAGCGACTCGATGTCCTCTCCACCATCGTTGGAGGCGCGGCGGGAAGCAGTTCTTGACAACTTTCAGCGGTTCAGGGCGGCCGTGGGCACTGCACTTGGGATGGACGATTTTTCTCCAGGTGATGGCAACGTCGCCGCTGCCCACGACAAGCACGTCGCCCCAGCGAAGGTAGCCGTGCAGTCGACGCCTCGTGCAACCCTCGACCTCGTTTTTCAAACGGTACGACGTATGCTGACCAACGAGCCGCTGACGCGCCGTTGATAGAGCCTTCGCGCGGCAACTCGGGACGACGAAGCAGCATTTATCCGAAGATGCCCCCACCTGTACATGGCCACGCCGCAGTTGACGTCGGACGTTGTCATGGCTGCGCTGGCGCCGTTTCTGGACCGCCTCAAAACTCCCTCGCGGGACTCGATCCTGTTTGTCGTGTTCTTGGGGACGTTTGTCGAGGACTCGACCTCGATGCTCTTTTATCGACAGCCGCCTGCCGCGACGCCTCCCTTTTGGCATTGCGTGCCAGGGTACTTTGTGTGCATCCAGGCGTTCGTAAACGTGTTCAAGAAGGTGTGCCTGCGACGCAAAAAGGATCGCGACGCGCAGATCGTGACCAAGGATGCCGACGTTGTGGTCAACCCGTGGTTCCCGTACTGGACCAACAACGAGCTCGAGCCGGTCTACGATGGTCTTGGCGACATCTTGGCTAACGGCGCCCTCCTCAACGTGTTCGTCCAGGTAGGAACATCCCGACGTCGATACAATGACGAGAGAGGTTGGATGCGAAGCTACCCATCGATGGAATGGATGGCTGACGTTTGTCGTGTGGTTGTCGCGTAGGTGATCTTGGAAAGCACCAACATGTACGACCCCCACAGCGTGGACTATGCATTCAACGTGCTTCAGAATGCATTTGAGACTGCTGCCGCCGCAACGGGGTCGCGCCATAAGCACGGAGATTCCCACCATGTCCAAGGGGATTCGGCGGGCGGTGCGCGGTCGCACCTCCCCATCGAGTTCGACCTCGAGTACTACCTGTCGGCGCTGCGGCTAGCCCTGACGTCGACGCATTTTCAAATCCTGCTCAAAGTGCTGGCGTTCGTGTACGCCACCGCTGGTATGGATGCCGTCGTCGTCGAGATCGCTGCTATGCTGATTTCATGCGATGGGACTAGATCTGCTCGATTCAAAGCGGCGGCAAAAGCTCTTGGCAGGAGTTGTCCTCCAAGAGCACTTTTTTCCCCTTTTTCTTCATTGGAATGAAGAGGTAGGGCCATCGTCGATCGTCTCGTTCCTTGGGATGGAGTCATGATGTCGAGCCGCAGGTCCGTCGCATGTTCTGCCACCTTCTCGTCTACAAACTTTTTTTGTCCTCGCGCCTGGACCTCCCCCTTGTCTCGGATCGTGTTTTGCTCGCATCCAGTCCGTTCTTCCGGCCGCAGCATGAGCCCGCGCCGCATGTCCTTCAGGGCCTTGCGTCGTACTTTGCGCCGGCCCCTACCAAGAAGATGTCGCCGCAAGCTGTCACCGACGACCACAATCACGCCCTCGAGCGGCTGATCGTGTGGGACACGACGGCCACCCCTCGCCAGTCCAACCAAAAGCAAAAGCAGGAACGGCTCTTCCGAGACAGTTTGTCCAACGATGATCTCATGCTTGACCTGTCCGTGACGAGCAAACTTGACGCGGTGCTGAAAATGATTGCGGAGCAAATCCACGCCCACGACGACGGCACGTCCCCGTCCGGCATGTACTTCCCGCGGCGCCTACAAGTGTACGCACAGAAAGCGCTCAGTCAGTACGTTGGGCTTCTTTGGATGTACTACAAAGCCGCGTTCGATGACTTGTCCGTCCCTCCAACGGCTCCGACCTTGGAGTTCAACGTGCAAACCTTTTTTGGGAGCAGCGACTAATACATGATTGAGCCTCGACACGAGTGCACTCAAACGTGCACGCGGCTGTTCTGTCTGTCTGGGAGTTGTTCGGTTGTTTGGTACGCGGAGAGTGTAAATGAATACCGGATTCATTTTACCTACGAGGTAGTCCTCACCACTTGTCGCTGGAATCAACACCCATGTCCTCGTCAGCATTGCCACGTGTGATGTTGGTGCAGAACGTTGTCCACGAGTGAGCAATGGACTGCAGTTCGTCTCCCTAAAGGTCACCTCCGTTGGATATCCGCACGTTGCATGCGTGCGATCGTACCACATCGTTCAGACGTTCAAGGTTTTGATTCAGGGTGTGGAGGCCCACCATGACTTCGCGTAATTGCTGTCAAAACGGCATGTCAACTTCACATCGTCATCGAATGCGCTTGCGAGCGCGTATTTGGATGTACCTCCAGAATCGCGTCGTGGAGCTTGGCCTTCTCCGCCGCGTACGCCGCGCTCATCTTTGTTTAGTGTGGGAAATTCAAAAATGACCCGTTTAAGTGCGATTTTACAACGGACCAATCAAAGAACAGCATGTTCAAACCATATTTTGAGTGCACCATGGCAACAGAGGCCGACGCCGACACTCGCGACGACGCATACTTCATGAAGGAAGCTCTGGCGGAGGTATACAGGTAGTTCATGGCAACACATGAAGTCGCTTTGCTAGGGAATGTATGCGTTGGACCGCGGGGAAGTTCCTGTCGGGTGTGTGTTTGTCTTGAACAACGAAGTCATTGGACGAGGAGGCAACAGGACGAACGAGTTATTCAACGTACTCGTCGTGTGTGGCTGCCCAGGAACCTGATGGATGCTTGCAGGCTACAAAGCATGCTGAACTCGTTGCGATCGACGCTATTCTGGAGGAAGAAGCGTACACGTCGTCCACATTCCGCGAGTGCACTTTGTACGTGTATTTTACCGGCGGCCCTTGTGGGTCGCAAGGAAGCGCCTTGCGTTGACATGACTGTAGATACGTTACCTGCGAACCATGCATCATGTGCGCTGCAGCGTTGGCCTTACTCCACGTCAAGCGCGTCGTGTTCGGATGCCACAACGACCGGTTTGGCGGGAATGGGTCCATCCTGTCCCTTCAGGACGCCAAGTATGTACCACCCATCATTCTCTATCGATGCGTCAGCGCCTAATCGATGTGACCAGCGCATTTCCAGGCAACAGCCATCACACGGGGTATCCCATTACGCACGGCTTGATGAAGAACGAAGCGATTGCTCTACTCAAAGACTTTTACGACCGAGGAAACCCGCGAGGTGACCTCTTTCTTTGGTTGGCACCGCATGCTTCATGCATGGCTTGTGGTAGTGGAAAACTCCAAGAAAAAGCGAAAGCGGCGACCAGATTAGCATGGGCAACAGCCCAAATCCTATACATGAACATGGACACACGACTCCACAGCACATCCATGTGCATGTAGTCGAATACGGCTGAGTTCACCCTTGACTAGCTCGAGGGTTCGCATAAAGCCCTTGTGCGTTTCGTTTGACCAAGGCAATCATCACCTGCCCCTATCGCGCCGTGCGATATCCGTGGCCTCGCCGAAGGGATGCCAGTGTGCTCATGATGGTCAAGCCATGGCGCCCGATAGCCCCTCGGTTGCGACAGCAAAGAAACCTTCACTCCGTGCGATATCAAGTGCTAGTTTGATCCAGTTTTCTCCAGTAGTCGCCACAACTGGAACATTCGGCCCCTGGCTGCTTTTGACGCCGATGGATTCGAGAAGTAGCCATGTCGCCTAGGAATCGAGCGCCTCACCAGGCAGTCTTGGTGCCACTCCAACGCCCCTCCCCTCCAGCACAGAAATCAACGGAGCTCAGCACCGTTCCAATGAGAATCCACTCGACTTACGCGAATCTCGTCGCTTGCAGGCCGACGGTCACGTTGGCGCGGCTCGCCTTCTTCAGTGTAAGCTTGAACACTCAAAAACACAGTGCAGCCGTGTACTTGCAAAATCGATGGGCCACTCCCGTGTCATGCCATCGGGGCAGTGAGTACAAACGATGTGCCTCACATGGCGTCGCATGCTGCCCAGAGACCACAATTCGGCAATCAAACCGAAAACGTGTTTCAAGTCGACTCGCTATATCCATCGAGTGTTGCCGCCGTTCGGTGCCCCAGTGCCGTGTGCTCCCGCGGCAACTGTGCAGTGTCCCATGAGGTCACACGCCCGCTACATGTCAAACGCGACGACATAGCGCAGTTGCACGAGGCGCTCGTCGTACACAACAACTTCATCGTGGTACAATGGATTGGCTGGATCCGTCGTCGGCGGCCCGATGCCTACCCGAACGTCTTGGCCATCCTTGCACACCACCTCGTCCTCGGTTGGGTTGGGGAATCGCCTGCCTTTGACGAGCACGGTGTTGAATCCCGCGGGTAGAGTGCCCACGAGCCCATACTTGGGGACCACCAGCGCGTCGCCGATCGCGGCCTCCACCAAAAACGCAAACCCCACGCTGCGGCCGCCTACGCGTGCCGGTGTCGAGTGCTGTTTCGCCTTTTCAAACATCGTGGCCAGGTAGATTCCTCGGCCAAATGTCGCACTACAATTTCCCATGATGCGCATGCCGCTCTTGAGGATGGGTGCCACGGCAACCTCGCGGGTCCCGTGCCACAGCAATTGATGGTTGGGGGTGGTTGCAAAGGCCGAACAAGCCAAGGCCTCCGCGTGGCGGCGAATCGATCAAATGCCCACCACTTTGGCCATGTCGCCTCCACCGTTCGAAATGTACTTTATGATGACTGGATGCATCGAGTCCATTCGAGTCACCGTGTCGAGGTCACAATGAAGCGACGATGGGGTCATCATGCGATGGGACCGCATGGCATTCTCGATGGTGGCACCGGTGACGAGGCCGTGGAGTCGAGACAGCATGCCGTGCTTTGTATTGAGTTGTTTGCGAGTGGAAAGCACGACCAGGGGGCTTGCGTGCGGAATGATCTGGTAGAAGTGGGCCGATAGAGATTGAAACATGCTCTTCAAGACGCTTCCACTGTCCACGCAGCCCCGCAGGGCGTCAAGCACAGCCATGCCTTTTTCGATTTGGCGGGCGCTCAAAGTCCCAAGGGGCATGCACTTCATGTCCAAATGCACGCCCCCGTCCCACGCATCGAAAAACACTCGAACACCTTGTTGGGGGCGATGCGATTCCGCCAGAGATGCCGCGGCAGCAACGGCGGATCGATGGCGCCCATTGTCCAGGTCGACGATTCCATACGCGCCTGGCTTGACCTCAAACTGGTGCCGGTCGGCCCATTTGTTTTTAGTCTTGGCTTGGAATCGCTGGCAAAATGCGCTTTCGGCATGCTCCAGCGATTGCCATGGCCCCTCCTTTTCGCACTCTCCAACGTCGCCGACGGGGCCCCAACAACTCCAAATACTCCACGCGACAGGACTGTCTTGAACAAGGCGAAGGCGAAAAAAATCGTTTGCCGTGCGCTGGCGCGTGATTGCCACGTGGCTCAGCATGGCCTCGCAGCCACCAACTACGACCGTCGCGCCGCCCCCCCAAATAACATGAAGCAGTGCATCCACTTGACGTCGAGCCAGTGGTGCATCTGTCGGCCCCAGTTGTGTGGCGGGGGGCAATGCTGGCGGAATAGCTATGGTTGGTGGGGCGGCGCGACTTGCCATGGAGCCAGGGCCACGAATTAACTCCGTAGGATCCCGAAAGCGGGGGGAACGCCGACGAGTCCATTCGCCAAGCTCTATGCCAGCGTGAGTGGCAGACGGTGGCGTTGGGGCTTTCCGTGCGAGGTCGTCGGCCAACAATGCAGGTACAAGACACAGCGAGGTTGTGTTGGTATGCGTCGTGGATGGGGCGTCCATCGCCGCCTTCGTGGAGCTCCGCGTGACCCGCTTTGCGCACGGCGCCGGGCTTGGAGTCGCTTTGCGCTTCCCGGGCATCTTGGCAAGTGGTAGTTGGAATCGTACCTCGCCTGGTTTGACAGTTGAAGCGATTCTAGACCAGAATTCGTCTCAACTGGCACGCATTTCTTTCGCAGATTCGACCAAATGGCACCACCACCATGCCTTGCCCACACAAACCCCTCCACTCCTTGGCACGGGTCCCCTTCAGCAGCGCCGCCAGCAGACGATGGAAGGCGATGTCATCGTACACGCGGCAGCGGATGCAGAACGCGATTCTTCACGGAGCTGCCTTAACTTGTTGCTCTGTCTTGCAGCGCTTCCCATCACGCGGATCGGCGCTGTGGCGGGCGGTGATACGTGTCTGTGCCCTTGCTCAATCCGAGGAAGAACTCAGCACCTCATCTACCTGTCGTGGCATCCAAGTGCACATGTGTCTTCCGCCCCCGGTGGTGCATTCGGTGCAGGGCCAGCACGCAGCAAATAGCATAGCCAGCCAGCACGTGCAGCACTTTGGTTTTGTGGCATCGCGACCGTAGGGCCCCTTCATACAACTCTCGCACTGTCCGAACGCCACAGACTCGCGGCTCGCTCGTCCTCCACGAAGATGACCAACGTTCTTCGGAAGCGCCTCTTAAAAACCACTGGACGGCCATGGCCGAGCACGACCGATTCACGGCGTGACGAATCCATCCCAACGGCACATGCTACTCGACGGCCGCACATGTCTCTGCCCCCGGGGCCGTTCGCCTCCCGTCGTTTCATGCGTACACGCTGGCGCTGGTGCATGATGGCTGTGCTGTTTGGTCCGCCAGCTTGTACTCACGCTCCCGACAAAGCGCTCACAGGAACTCTATTGAATTCACATTCGACATACATCGCTACCAAGCCCATTGCCACTCCTTCGACTAGCACGCCACAATCCCTGCTTCACACTGGCCGCAAACAGCAGCAGCAGCAGCAGCATCCGCAGCGAGCGGCTCCATGGACTCAAGGGTTGGACGTCCAAGATGACAGGTTTCGGTGGGACCCCTTGGGGTGCAACCACCGCAGCTCTGTATCCGATCCAACCCGCGCATGATGGTCCGTGCCGGCGGGGGCTGCGGGGCTCGTGGCTGCGGCCTCCCGACTCGATCCTTCCTTCCAACTCTGAGTTGGTTTGAATCCACTGGCCCTGCGCTGCATTCCCCCGGCGGTGGAAGGGCCGTCGGCGGTGGTTGTCTTCGCCGCGCGGTAGTCGGACGCAGTCATGTGGGACGCACTGCCGGTGCGCGGCGCAAGCTCCTTGGCGAGGGACGACGTCGACCCGCGTGACTTGGGACCGCTGCCGCGGAGGTAGTCGTCGGCTTGCTCAAACAGCGTGGCTTCATGGGTCATGGCCAATACGCACCGTCGAATGTATCGCGGGAGCACGCGACTGCCCACCTACTCGCCACAGTCAATCGAGCCGAACGGCATGCTGCGGGGGAACGGCATCAGGCCACCACGATCGCACAGGCAGACATCGTCACACGTGGCCGTTTTACCCGTTCAAACACGACGTCCACATCTTCGAGACGGAGGCCCTTCTTTTCGAGGCCCGCGCCACGCAGAAAAATCGGCCCGTTGCCGATTTCAAAGCGACTGGCTTCGTTTGTGATGGCGAGGAGGTACACGCTCCCGAGCACGTTGGTCGTTGTCTGGCGCTGCTTGTCGCGACGCTCCATCATGGTCATTTCGAGGCCCAGAACCAACTGGTTTGTGTACGGGTTGCGGTACACCGCGACATCGCGCACACTCGGGTTCTCGAGCACTTGGCTCAGCTCGTACACTTGCTTGTCGAGAAAGGACGCGCCGACCGTGGAATCGAGCACGTCGAGCTCGTACATGCTTGGAACGACGGCGCCGTGTGCCTTGTCGACCGATGTATCGATCACGTCCACGTCGTCGTAGCTCGACATGGACGCGTTGAAGAGTGCGATCTCCACCGTTTGGAGCTGGTCGATCGGGATTTCGAGCTTGGTGCAGTGCGTGTATGTGCTGCGGTGGCGGAGACGCTTGATGGTGGCCGGGCCCTTGCCAGTTGACGTGTCGCGGTAGTAGGCGTTTTCGCCGTCCGGGGCTTCAAAGTCCACGAGGGCCATGCAGATCGTGTACAACAAGTACGAGACAAAGTCGGTTTTGTCGAGGGTTTTGAGGATCCCGGCGCGAAAGCTCCGGAGGAGCCGCTTCTCTTCCGTGCTCACGTGCTGCCCGACGGGGACGCCCCGCTGCCGCGCAATTTCTTTGCGGATCGCGACCGACACTTCCTGCTGCACATTCGATAGCCGATACATCATCATGAACGCTTGGCAGCTCTTGAGCATAGCCATGTACTTTTCGTCGCTCTGGACGGCCCCGCCAAACCAACTCGTAAACGGCAGCGCGCACAGCGTAATGATGGCGACCGAATACAGCACCATGGTCCAGAACATGGTGTTTGCCAGCCCTGGTGGCCCCGGCTCCATCCCTTGCGACTTCATGTCGACGTAGTAACTTTGGTACAAAAAAAAGATCGTCCACACTGCCGTCATGGCCGACGCGATGCCAGTCATGTCCCACGCACCGACCCCGATGCTTTTGCACATGGTGCGGGCGTCGTTTACGAATTCGGTCAGCGACGTCTTGTCGTTTGGGCCGCTGTCGTCGACGACCATCTGCACCACCGCGTTGTCGTGGAGGAAGACCGAGAACCACTTGATCACGAGCGTCACGCGCGCCAAAAACACCGCGAGCTCCTCCGCGAGCAGGAACGGCAAGATGATGGCGAGTCCGTCAAAGTTCTTTGTGTTCATTTGGGTAAAGTCCATGTTCGTCCCAACAAACGTAAACGAGAGAAACAGTACGTAGAGCGTTCCGCACACGATGACACTGCCGAGCGACACGGAGCTCGACATGTCCTTGTACCGCATGCTGCCCGCCACGTCCGCGCGAATGTTGTCCAGGACGGTGTCGACGATTTGAGCAAGCACACGCTTCTTCGTCTCCTTGTCCGTGCTTGTCACCTATAAAGACGTGCAATCGTTAGTTCACGAAAGTGGTGCTCGCGACAAAATGCCGACGAAGTCGCACCAGTTCATCAATTCGAGGCTGCCGAACTCGGTAGTCTAAGCACGCTTCCCATTCCAGACGCAAGAACAGCTTGAGCGCTTCCCATTCGAGCTTAAAGACAGCTTTCCACGAGCGCAAGACGGGACGAGGGAGCACCCCCGTGAGGACGGCCGCCCCGTACACTGCGGACCCGAACCCGACAAGCACTGCGTACATGAAGAAGATGCTCGACGCCAACGCCCAGTTGGCGACGGTTGTAAGCAAGGCGTATCCTGGGCCCGTGAGAATGAGGTACAACTTGCGGGTATGGGCGATGGGCAGTTGGCGCAGTTTGTGGATGTCGAGCGCGCGCAAAAGGTAGTCCGGTGCGTCCTTCCACTTGCGGCATGAGTAGTCGGCCAAGATTGTCTCGATCGGCATCTCTAGCACAACACCCCACTCCTCTTCGTCTTCTTCCGACGACGAGTACCCGTCGTCTTCTCCGTCGGCAGCATTCGACGCGGTCGACCGGCGGTACCGCCACATGCTCTTGAGCTTGTTGACGCTATTGACCATGTCCGCCTTGGTCGGACTCAAGTCCTTGAGAGTCTGGATCTTCTCCATGAAGGTTGCTTTCGTCGGGCTATCCCATGGGCTCTTGGCCACCTCAACGATGTTTTCGATGTCGACCCTGAGCTCGTGGACCATGGCCATTGCGGCTTCGCCGACTTCGGCCACCGTCTCGGCGACGTACTTTTCGGCACGAGCCACACGAGAGTGCGCCTCCTGCGACTGGTGCCGAGACGTGGGTGTGTGCGGAGCGGCACTCTCGTCTCGCTTGTCATGGCCATGACTGTTCATGGTGCTTCAATATTCCTACTAACCACTTCCACGCAGATGTATCTTTTGGCGACCTTTCAGCAACCAATCAGATGGGTCGATGTCGTACTTCAGAGAACACGAACTCTACCCACTTCGAAACGCACCTTGGAGGACACTTCGAAAGCCAATCGTTGCAACCCACACCACGAAGAAGTCGCGCGGCGCCGATGGGAAAGACGTCCAAGGACAAGCGAGTACGGCTCGTTGTCGTGTAGCGGATGGGCGAAACTAATGGCACGAGGGCTGCGTGTAGGACATTTACTACCGCAAGGCCAAAGAGCAAGGATATCGCGCGCGATCAGCCTTCAAACTCATCCAGCTCGACGAAACCTTTCACCTCTTGGACGGTACCCTCCACTTTGACCAAGGTCCTTGCGCATGTACATGAAACCACCCCCCAATTTCTAGGTGCCACGCGCGTGGTCGATCTATGCGCTGCTCCAGGAGGATGGACTCAGGTGATTGTCGACCGATTGCGTCCTTCGTACGTTCACCAGTTGCGTTGACAATCTCCTCATCGGGATACCAGGGAGAACCCAAATGTCCAGATTGTCGCGGTAGACCTCATGGAAATGGCACCGCTAGACCATGCGATTCAAATACAAGGCGACATCACAGCACAGTCCACGGCCGACGCCATCATCCGTCACTTCCATGGAGGCAAGGCGCACTTGGTCGTTAGTGACGGCGCACCGGATGTACTGGGCCTGCACGACCTCGACGAATACCTGCAAGCACAATTGGTGCTTGCTGCATTGAACATTAGTCTGCACATTCTTGAGGAAGGCGGGACGTTCGTCGCCAAGCTGTTTCGAGGCAAGGAAGTGTCCCGGTTGTATGCACACCTGGGTCGATATTTTCGCAACATTGTGTGTGCCAAGCCCAAGGCAAGTCGAAACTCGAGCTTCGAGAGTTTCGTTGTCTGCCAAGGCCTCCACTTGTCGCACGCTCTGCCAACGTCCATGGCTCTGAACCTGTTTGACCTGCCCTATGACAACGAGACCGACCGTCTCGTCGGGTCAACTCCCGTCCTCTTCCAGTCCTGTGGCGATGTCGATGGATGGGACGCCGACCAGTCGTACCCCATCGACGAACATGGCGCATACACGCACCAGGAGCCGCTGCAGAAGCCCATCAACCCGCCCTACGCCCTCGCAAAGACCACCACCACAACCAAATGATACAGAAGGTCTTGAATTAGTATAAGTCACACTAAATACAGACAGTATAAATTAGTGTGATCCGGTCGTACTTGGCTGTGACGTTGTTAGTGGCCATTCCTTTCGCGCTTGGTTGAATCGCTTTGCTTCCAGAGCACAAGGCTGACGTCTCCAAGTGCCAACGCTGTCTTTCGCCATCACGCTTTGCCTTTCTTCGGCGTCCACTCGAGAGTCCGTTGGGCAAACACCGAGACATGTGTGCACCTCGAGTAAAATCGCAAATCCGGATAACTGCAGGAGTGTTTCTCCAGAATTCGACGCGCCAATCAGAAGCGAGAAGAGCGCCCGTTTGTCTCGCTCCTACCGCAGCGAACTCGACACCACATCCGTCAAAACCACGCCGTCGGGAGGAGACGGAGATGCATGCGTGTCGCCATCAACCGTCAAACGGCATGAGCACAGTGCCATCGACGAGACCTGCATCGGCTAGATCGATCTCCTTGCAAACCCTTGAATATGACGACGACAACACTTTAGATCCGTCTCGGATTGAACGCTTATCCATGGAGGAAAAACGCCGCGAACGCCGCGCGGCCATCGAACTCGCCCATCAACGTGAAATGGAGGCGACTCTAGCTGTCTCTAAGGCAGAACAAAAAGAACGAGAACGCATCGAGGCCATGACGGTTGTCGATGAAGAACGGTGGCAGCAAGAGGAACTTCTCGCTCTGATGAAGATTCGCGCGACGCTCGACGAAAAACGGCGCAAGCGACAGGAAGCTGAAGCTGAGCGCGATGAAAAGATGTTGAAAGCCGTCATGCAGGTGTCCATGATGGAGTACAATGCGCGGGGGGAGATTGAAAAGCGAGCAGTTGAAGAGGAGCTCTGGCTGCAGTTTGAAGCGGACAAGGCATTGCGGGATATCGAGCGACAAAAGGCGCTGGCCAAAGCTGAAAAGTTCAAGAAATTGCAGACGGTCTTGGATATGAAGAAGCGCGCGCATATTGTCAGGGAGAGTGCGCGAAAGGCTGTCGAGGAGTTGCAGGCCCAGGAGCGTCAACGGCATGAAAAAATGTGGCAAATGCAAGAGGAAAACGTCATTCGAGAGCAAATTGAACAGCTCGAAGCCGTGCGACGGCGTCAAGAAGAAGCCATAGCGAAGCGTGTGGAAGCGGAACGCCGGGCTGATGAAGCATTGTCACGTGCGCAGGAATTGCGCCAGAAAGCACTCGCTGCCGCGAAACTTGTGCGGCAGACGTCGCATCAGGCTATGGAGGGTGTTTTACAAGATGAGGACGTTGTGCGGTTGGACGACCACCGCCGGCAATTGGAAGTCCTGGATATTGGCATAGAGTCAGCGTCAAGGATTTGTGAGGAGAAAGAGATGTTGGCGAAAGAGAAGCACGAGCATGCCCTCGCCCTCCGCGACAAGGCTCTTGACGCTGGACAGAGCGTCAGCAAGTCCATCGCGATCGCTTAAGGCGATGCCTGTAAGATATTTTAATGGGTTGTGTACGCATTTGGAGTTCCGAACGATTGTAAAATTTCATCGACGCGTGAGAGAATTCTTGGAAAATCCCGAGTTTCTCGGAAGTTACTGAATGGGGTGACCCCATCGTTTTTGCTGTCTTGCACGAAAAATGTCCAATTTCTTTGATATTCTCGAACATTTCCTCGTTATACTATTTTGAAAACTGTTTTGATACGAAAATATGATGTGGATTTGTAATGTCACTTTGCGAAATTAGGCGAAAAAGTAGAAGGAATGTTCGCGGCACATGACGTTTCCACACCACGTGGACATGCGTTGGACAACGACATCTGCACGACCGCGCAACGTTGTCGATGTCCGTTGACGCGCACATTGCCGACGGCATCGCAGTGGAGCTTGAGCCCGACGATCGAGAAGACGGTAAGAAGGAAATGACGATCGCATTCAACGAGGAACACCAGACGACCAACAACTTGGCCAAGATATACGTCGCTCGATCGACCCACTCCACGCAGTTCGAGCGGAAGGCGGCCGAAATTGAGGAGGAGGCAGCCCTGCGTGAGGCGGAACTCAAGGCAGAAGAAGAAGCATCCCTTGCTGCATTTCGTGCCGCACTCGAATTGAAGCGCCAAAAAGCGAGAGAAGCTCAACTCGCCCACGAAGAAACTGTTGTCCGAGCTGTGTGCGCGGCGTCACTCTTGGAGTTTACCGAGCGGGAACGGATTGAAGCACAGATGTCACTCGACGAGAAGAAGCGCTTGGAGGACGAAGCAGCGCAACTCGAGAACATTGCTGCGTTGACGACGGCGGCAAAACGGTCTAAGACCATCGCTGTACAGAGTGTGTTGGATCTCAAAGCTAAAGCGTATCAAGCCAAACTGCAAGCACAAAAAGCAATCCAAGAATACGAAATGAAGGAGCGGGAACGACAAGAGAAGCTTGCAGCCCTCTCCGACCTCGAATCGCAGCGGGAGTTGGAGCTGCAGCTTGGAGCGATGAAGCAGCGCCAGGAAGCTGCCACGTTGAAACGGCAAGAGAGCGAGCGTCGCGCACTAGAGGCCAAAGAACGAGCCCAATCGTTGCGCCAATCTGCCTTGGACGCCGCCAAGCACATGCGCGAGACCACCAAGCTAGGGATTTCTGCCATACTGGAGAGTGAAGAGAAAGTTCGCGAAGCGCATTACGCGTCAGAACTACAGACAGTTCAAGGAGCCAAGGAAGAAGCCCGACGACGGCGTGAGGAGAGCGAGCGCCGTGCGACAGAGGCTGCACAGAGGGCGGCAGCACTACGAGAAAAGGCCGTGAACGCTGCCAAGGACCTGCGCAGTATCTCGAAGCGTGGGATCGAAGCAGTGCTTGAGAAGGAAGAGTTGTTGCGCCACCAGCAATTCCAGAGCCAGATGAGTGCAGTTCAGTCAGAGCGCGAAGAAGCCACGCGAAGGCGCGAAGAGTGCGAACAACGGGCTATTGCAGCCGCCGAGCGCGCCAAGACGATGGCATCACAAATTTCACTGTCCACACCACAAAGCACATTGACTCTAGCAACAACCGACACTACAGAACATACATCACTTAGCCCCGCCATCGACATTGCTGCCAGGGCAACCCTCGACGATACGATCATACCTGAGAATATCGAGTCGCCAACTGCAAGGAAGGATGCGCCGGCTGCTGAAGTGGTTGCGCCGTCTTTGGCTCCGTTGCCAGCAGGTCGTGCGAAGAAAGAGCGAAAGAAGAAGTGCGTGATCATGTAGGAGGAAGAGTGCAGTCGAATTGGTAGTTGCAGTGTTTGAAAATTGACCAAATTTTCAACGATTTGGGGAGAAAACGCAGCAAATATGTGAAATAAGTTAAAAATGGACGAAATCCACTTCACCGCAGCACGTCTTCCTCGACGAGCTGGTCGTACAACAAATCGCGGTAGGATGACCCGTTGTCGTCGAAGCTCCCGGAGGTATCACTGCTGTCCTCAGTCTCGGAATGGAACGACTCCGACACCCCCGACACCGACGGCATCCGCACGAGTTTGTTGGTCGTCGAGCGGTACAGCGCCACGTTCTTGACGAGCCAAGGGTGGTCGAGGAGGGTCGCAATGGACGGACGACTGTCTGGGTCGGACACCAAGATCGATGCCAATAGGTCTTGCGCAAGCTCTGACAGGTGGGTGGGGTAGTTGATCTTGTTGCGGTATACTTCTTGCCGAAGAGTCGAGAACGACCTATCGTCGAACGGTGCACAACCGGTGAGCACCGCGAAGAGAAGGATGCCGGTGCTCCAGATATCAGCGGGGGCGCCGGCGACACCGTCATCGCGACTGGTGGACGGCATGAACAGCAGCTCGGGACTGCAGTAAAGTGGGGTCCCACACACCGTGTGCAGCCGCTCCGTCGTGCGTTCAGACAAACCGAAGTCGATCAACTTCACTTGAAAATTGTGGGTGAGGAGAACGCTAGAGACATGGTGTTAGCGAGCGATTCCACAAGGGGAGGGACGACGAGGACCTACGTACTTTTCCAATTTAATGTCGCGATGCCAAATGTTCAATTCATGGCATGCTTGGATGGCGTGGAGGAGCTGGTCATAACAGTGGGCAGCCAAGGGTTCGTCCATTTTGTGAAATGCCAGCACGTAGTCCAGCAGGTCATGCCCTTCGACCAGTTCGTGGACAATGCAGATTCGATGGGACGTCTCGTAGGCACCAACGTATCGAATGATGTTCTGATGGTCCAAAGCTTTCGCAATACTGAGTTCTGTGATGATCTTCTTGAGGCGGCGCTGGACGCGGGCAACCGCCGTGTCCTTGACGACGACAGAATCCCCAAGAATCGACTGTCGCACTTCGATCATCTGCGCTTTGTCAAACACCTTGATCGCCACTCGTTCACCCGACGAATGGTCCAGCGCGGCAAATACTTTAGCGGTCGCGCCGTTGCCGATGACCCGTTCAAACGTAAACTATGCACGCAGTCAGTCCCTGTCAACACAAATCGCGGTCGCGGCGTCGGACACACCTTCTCGAGAAGCGCTTCCTCGGAGATCTGAGGCCCCATGATGGCCCGCAACTGTGCGTCGAGGGAGGGTGCTTCCTTCATCACTACTTCGAGGTCGTGGCAGTGTTATCTCCAAGTTGAGGCCGACGTCCAGCGTCCGTGCATCCACACACGGACGCGAATGGAGAAATGGCTGTGATCTACGCCTTGATTCGTTTCGACAGCATCCAATCTCAGGCGGGGATTTGCAACTGTCAGAGAGATAGACCAATCACATGACGCAATTATTTATAGACGCCATCCGATTGGCTAATTCGTTTCCATACAATTGCCGACTGTGCCGCCCGAGCCCTCCTCACGCATTGACCGCGCAACAGGATTGCTTGGACTGATCTCAACGAGATGCGTACCTCACAATCACGACAGGAGAGTTTCGTCCCGCGTCTCGATGTGAGCATATCAAATGGTCGCGTCGCGACGAAGTGAACGCCCTGTCTCCATCGGATCCAAATCCAAGATTTTGCATCTACAGTGCCCACGAAGCGGGTGCCGTTTCAACAAGGACATGAGGATCTGCGAGGGCGAACGGCACCGCCGATTCAACTTGCCCACGGTCTCCACGACGAAACTCCACACGATTCAGGTGGATTTTGGTACATACCGATCGTGATCGATCCTGGGGACGAACGTCACCATCAGCGCAGAGCACACGACGACGAGAACGTGGTGCTGTCTATACAAATCAGGTCAGTGATATATGTTCATTACTGCACCACAAGTCCAGCACTCCGGATAGTCCATCTCCGTAGTCAGACTACAAATAGAAAAGCAACTCGTAGACCCAACCTATAGTGACATGGGCACAAAATTTCAAAATTGTGCCCATTGACGTCTTCCGGATAACGATCCGCGCAATTGATTGGCTGATGCGCGGTTGAAGCGACCATTGGTTGGCGGTGGAATTCGTTCAATCAGCATAATGGCCCCGAAACGCAAGGCGTCCGCGCTCGAGAGTGCCGCGAACAAGAAGAAGGAGCTCGAGGAGGTGCTTACCCCCGTGGACCTCACGCTTAAGCCTGCTGGCGGGTACATCAACAAGCAGCGTGTGTTGGTTTTTGCGTCCCGAGGTATCACGACGCGATACCGCCACTTTCTCGACGACCTCCGCAAGCTCCTCCCACATCACAAGAAAGATGTGAAGGTACCAACTTCTCCATCATGCAGTTCGTGGCAATGACGTTCTCATTGTTGTCTGGACAACGTAGCTCGATGCGAAGGACACCCTCCACGTCGTGAACGAAATCGCCGAAATTAAAGGGTGCAACAACACGGTGTTCCTCGAAGTACACATTTCCAAGCAGCACATGCTGCATGTCTCGGTCTCATCACTGTTCGTTAGGCTCGCAAGAAGCAAGACTTGTACATGTGGGTTTCCCGTACCCCGACCGGGCCGTCAGCGAAATTCCTTGTCCAAAACGGTACCGCTAGGATGCTTCCACGTTCTTCGACTTCATCTCGTTCACCCCATTGCTTGCAGTGCACACGATGGACGAACTCAAGATGACAGGCAACGCACTCATGGGGTCACGGCCCCTGCTGACGTTCGACGCCGCATTTGACGAAACGGCCCACATGCAGTTGATCAAGGCCATGTTCATCCAAGTGTGGGGCACGCCAAAAGGCCACCCAAAGAGCAAGCCGTTCATCGACCGCGTCATGAGCTTCTATTTTGCAGACGGCAAGATTTGGTGTCGCAACTTCCAGCTCGCGGACGAGGCCGACACAAAAAAGTTGGAACAGGCGGCGCTTCACCGCGGCGAAGAGCTGACCAACCTCATCGAGATCGGCCCTCGTTTCGTCATGACCCCCATCCGCATTTTCGACGGCAGCTTCGGCGGCGTTACGCTGTACCAGAATCCCCACTACGTCGCGCCCAACGAGACACGCAAGCATGCCAAGTTCGACAAGCGCGACAAGTACGTGGCCCGAAAACTCGCCGAGGATTCGCGTGCGAGCCGCAACCAGATCAATGTCCACCCCGAAGATCAGTTCGCCGACGTCTTTGCCGGCGCCGCCTCCCCCTAAGCTAACGTGTACCTCTCAATTGTTTCGATGCGTCTTTCCTCTGTCGTCCGGCGACGAGCTAGCTAGCAGCCTGGCTCGTCCACGAAGCTGCGCCTCGGGGACCAATGTTAGTTATAGCTGCGCTAACCCACAGCGACCGACGGACTTTGTTGTGACGGAGGCGAGGACCCCACTGGCGAATGTGAGTTGCTAAAGTAGGAATCGGGAAACATCGCGTGACTTCAGCTAGTCAAACCACGGAGGGGCTAAGTAGGGTGATGGGGATGTCGGCCAGGGGCGGCGAGGGGGACTGACAGGCGGCAACGGTGCCACCGTGGACTTGGTCGCATCGGTGTTGGCGGGATGCGTGGCCCCTTCCGGGGGCAAGTGCGCGTGGTTCGCCGTCGAGTGGAGTTGTGTGAACATGATGGCTTCCAGGAGGCGCACACGATGTTTGGGTCGGTCCATTTTCAGTTTGCTTTCGAGCGTTGTGTCTGTCATTTCTACTCCAAGTCCGTCCGTCAGCGAGATCGACTAAACGAACCAAGCATTTGCACCTGACAGGGCGAGGCCATCGATGTTGTGCGCCAGAAACTGCGGAACGTATTGGGACATTGCATGGGACCGGAGAAAGTCGGCGACGTGAGCTTGCGTCCACGTCTGCATGGCCGGCTCGAGGCGGTGGCGACACAGGCGCGAAGACCACTGGGGGTCCCACCCTCGCAGCAGCAACACCGTCGACTGGTGGCCATCCCGCAGCGCCAAGTCGAGAGCTGTGTCGCCATCGTCGACGGTCGTCAAGTCGAGGCGGGCCCCCGCCACGAGCAACTCTTTGGCACAGGCGACATGGCCGCCGCCCGCAGCAAGATGGAGTGCTGTGAGCCCCCACGCATTTTGGTCGTCTAGAAGCGCCCCTGCATGCACAAGGGCTTGGACACTTTGCTTGGCGTTGTTCTCGGCGGCGAGATGCAGCGCCTAGTTCATGATACGTGGGACAGTCGCCGAGTGGACGTACGGTCGTGCCGTCGGGGTCCTTCAAATGGACGTTGGCGCCGCGTCTTGGAAGGAAACGTCGTCTGTCATGGCAATATTCGTAGTAGTTGCATTCGAGCGTACCTCACCAGGAGCTCCACAGCGCGGCTGGCATTCCATGCCGCGGACATCATGAGCGGGGTTCGGTCGTGCTTCCCCGTCGCATCGATGTGCTGGAGACCCCCTTGTTGAAGAAACGTGTCGATCAAATGCACGTCGTCTGCAAGGCACACGTCAATGAGTGCGTCCGGGATCGATTCAAAATCCGCCGCAAACGCGGGGGCGACCGCCATGTTGTCGTCCATGCGTCGAAATGACGTAACTGCCACTCGAGGGCGTGGGCGTAACTGTGTGAAACGGCGGCCGCCGTGGTGGCCGACGAGGATGGGCCAGAACGTGAGCGCCGACGCGACGGAGGTCGTGCAGTTTAGGAAAATGGTTTGTCCGTCCGAGTGCCACCGTGCATGGGATGACGAGCTTGCAGGTCAAGTACACGTATTACAACAACCTGGACAAGCTCGACAAGGCGACATTTGACCCTGCCGTTGGCTTTCAAGTGCGTGCGATGACGTCGCGAATGGCTGTCTAAAACGCACACTCCCAATAGATCTCGCGGGCAAGTTATCTCGAGCTGTGCAGTCGCATCGAAGGTAAGTTGTCGTCCATGGCGCGTCGCACGTGACGACGAAGTCGCTACGTGTGCGGCCAACGCAGGACGAATCGATCGGATCCCAGATTCGAGGGTCAAGGCCGCCAAGTTGGACAAGCATGTGAACGAAAAGATGGACTTCTTCGCCGCGGTCGAGCAAGGTATGCCATGCGTCATGTGGCGGTGTGGTTGTGGACTCATGGATGCCAGGCAAGGTTGTGCTCGGCGACACACTGCTCCATGTCGCCGTGCGACTCGGGCATGTCGAGATCATTGGGTACTGGCTGGACAAAGGGCTCAAGGAGAACGTCCCAAACTTCCGAGGTAACGAGATTTGTGCAAATATGACATCCACGCTGCATGGCGTCCCAGGCGAGTTTGCCCATCAAGTGTGCACCCACCCGTCGATTCAGTTGCTCATGGACGACGTCGTGCTCGTGCATGACGTGCTGGGGTATGACTACGACGATGAAGCCAAGGTAAGTTGGGTGTCCATGCGGTCGGCGAGCGGCTCATGCTTACGTCCGCCATGGCGGGACTCGCTCGTGCAGGTCCACCGCCTCGTTCGCAGCTTGAGGCGGATGTGGCCGCTGTGGGTACGTCTCCCCTCGACAACCATGCCATCCCGGTCGATGCTCACTTCCTGCGTAGATGTTTGACGCGACCGAAACCGGTACTCGTCCATTCGCCTCCCATGATTTCCCCCGTCATGCTCAACAACATCTAGCGCTGCTCGTCAAGGTCCTTGGGGACGTGCGAAGCTCGCATCCGTTCCTGAACAAGTACCTCAAGATCGCCAACACGCTGGCTGCGCGGTGCGTCCGCCGTGCGACGCACAAGACTGTCATGGTCGTTCGTGTGCATGACAGATATCGCAACCGGGTGTCGCATCTCTGCCTTCCCGTCGCCATCGACCTCCTTCGCGAGAACGACCACAAGGCGTACGATGCCAAGGGCGCGATGTTGGCATGGCCGACCGATGAAAAGCTCCAGCTCATGTGGGATGTACGAACTGAGGTCGCAAGGATTCCTGCGACTGACCACGCTGCAGGTCCTTCGAGCGACCTTTCCTCAGTGGAAGCGCCAAAAAGATGTGGAAAAGGACGTCGCGTATCTGGTACGATTCCCCCTCGACCGCAAACGATCCGTCCATTCGCCCGCTCCACAATGGATGGCTCGTAGCACTTTGTTGAAGATGCCATGGCTGCGTGGATTGCGATGGCGGATGACCTGCGCTTGTACCACGATGACGCGCCACCCATCACGGCCGACGTGCTGCAGAACTTTGACCGTCAGATTTGGAAATCACGGCTTGGCCCTGACCCCGACGACGTCGATAACTTGTGCGCTCACATCGACGGCGTCCAGCAGTTTGTCCGCGCCAAGGACTTCCACGCATGATCGTCCACCCCGTAAACTCAACGAGCCATCATTTACGTTGTAGAGCACATCCATGTGCCAATATGCTGCGTCCGCGTTGACTTTTTTTCACGACGCCCGACAGCGTCAGCCAAACTTGCCATCGAACCCGACAAACCCGGCGAGTTTGAAAATCGGGAAAAATGGCTTGGCATGGAGCCTGGAGCACCAGTTCCACGCACTCGTGAGGCGGCCGTCGATGCACGACCCAGCGTCAAAGAAGTTGTCGGCGCCGCTTCCGTCGAACGCTTCCCGAAAGAAATCGACCAGGATGTCTTGCTTGAGCGCGTCGGCGCCGCCAAACGTTGTCTCGATGTAGCTCTTGAGCTCGGCAGACTTGGCCACGAGTGTGTCGATCTCGTCCAACGTGCGAACGACGGGACGGAGGATGTGGCCGACTTGCGCATACTTGTCGATAAACATGAGCGCGTTCGGGACGTTCTTGTCCCCAAGGTGGATGACCGAGCTCCCGACCCAGTGGTCGAGCTTGCGCTGCGTCGAGTGCAAAATGACGTGCATGGCGCGCGAGATGAGCGGCGATGGCTGGATGCGATGAAGACCTTGGCCCGTGTCTGTGAGTTGGTACGGCGCAGAACCCGACAGCAAGTCTTCATCCGTGAGACACCACAGCCGAAACATGTCGTGCGCGATCTCGCGCCACAGCGTGAGGCTCTGGAGGACGTAGTGGAATTGTCTCGCGTGCGTGTGGGAGAGGCGGGCGCCGTCGTTTCCAGACACAATCGCGAGCGAGTACTTGGGGTCGGCGCCGGCCGCGTCGTTGGATGGGGTAAAGTACTTGTGCAGCATCCCAATCATGCGGTCGATGGGGTCCCGCTCAAAGTACAAGTGGTAGTTGTTGTCCGCGATCGAGTACAAACACTGCTGGATATCGTCGGCGCGGAGAGTGGGCGACATGAATTGATTCGTGATCTTGCGGATCGCGACGTCCTTCTTCTTGATCTGTTCTTGGATCTTGGCGCGGGATTTGCCCTCCGGGGCCACCACCATCGTCGCGCATTCGATCAGCGGGTGGTCCAAAAGCGCCAGCGCATCATGCGACTCCAAAAGCGCGTACACAGTCTTGAGCGGCTGGATTGGACTGAACCCGAGGAGGTCTTGGATGGCAGGGGACACGGCGTCTTGGAGAAGGTACATGAGGATGCCGTACTCGCCGCGCATCTTCTCGGGGTTCATGATCTTGTACCGCCGTCCGAGCTCGAAGAGCTCGCCAAAGAACCCTGCAAGCGCGTCAAACTGCTTCTCTTCGAGCAGGGTCTGCCCGGCGGCGTAGTCCATCGATACGACGAGCCCGGAGAGGAAGCCGGCAATTTCCTGCAGCTGCATGCGAGTCCGCTTGGCAGGCGCGGTCGTTGCGGCGACTCCCGTGTCAATCTTGTCCGTGTAGTGGCACACATTGAGAGCGGCTTCCAGCGTCCGCAGGCGCTTACGTTCTTCGTACGTCAAGCGAAGGGGGATGTACTTGGCGCGGTCGCGCATGGACGTCGTAGAGGACGGTGCATCGGCTGACGAGGGGCTCGTTCCCTCCGCCGTCGACTTACCTATGAACAACGATCCCATCAAATTACAGATGCTTTTCCTCGGCCCGCGAAAGTAGCGCGACACCGTGGACGCGTCGTGGGCATCATCGCCGCTCGAGTCATCACCTTCGGGAGCACGGGGTGATTCAAACACAACAGGTGTGCTTGCACCTGCTACGGCATCTTCCTACAGAGTTGTGTGTCAGAATCAACACTAGGATGTGGCGGATGCACCTTTGTCTTGCCCGAGGGAGTCGCTGCGGTATGGAGGATGGGCTGGAACGTATGCGTCTTTCGGTTTCCCTTGCGATGCTGCCCACCATAGCACAGTTGGCAAAAGTGATCGTGGCACTGTTCGCAGAAGACTTCGGCAGCTTGGTGGCGGCACTCGATACACACGGTCGTGTCGAGTTCTTCTTCGTTATCAACGACAGCATTCACATCTGATGCACCAACAACTTGGGAGGCGGGCGCATCCACATTCATGGACGAAGCGTCGTCGTCGTCTTCATCCGAGTGGTCTAGCAGCTCCGACAGCCGCCGCAGCCTGTACAGTCCTTTGCGGTCGGTCATGATTCCGTGGCCAACTCCTGCCGCCCCACTGAAACCGACGTCGTTTGATTGGATGATACTCCTTCGATTTCCAACGAATTAAAATGCACAAACGTTGCAGGCCAGAAGAATATGCATCATCTTCCGAGCGAATTTCAGCGGACACCGGTTCTGCACACACGTCTGCTTCAACGCGGACGGCTCTTGTGGTGTCGACTGCGTGGGCATGCTTTAGGCTACCTACTGGTTGTGACCACGGCATCCCCACGAGGGCTTGCCAGAGTTGCCAGTCTAATTATTTTGTCCAATCAAAAGGATTCAAAAAGATTTTCTCAGCATTTTATCCAATAAGATTTAGTTAATGGTGCACGAGCTCTCTGGGTGGCCATTGTGGAATCGCTCACTGACGAGAAAAGCATCATGGCCGATGTGAACGATGTGCATGTAGAATTGGAAGAAAAGCTGTCTGTGGAGGAGGCCCAAGCTGTTGCAGCTGCCGCTGAAGTTGCGAATGCCACGTCCAAGTCTTCCAAGAAGGTGGCGGCGGCGCCCACTGTGTACGAATCGCGCTTGCACGAAGTGCGCGACTGGAAAAAGAGCACGTTGACGCTAGACGAACGCTTCGAGCTGTGCAAAAGTGTGGGCGAAGAGTGCATCAAAGAAGAGGAGCTTCGCGCGCTGCTTGAAAAGAAGGAGCACCCCATTTGCTACGACGGGTTTGAGCCGAGTGGCCGCATGCACATTGCACAAGGCGTGCTGCGCATGATCAACGTGAACAAGCTTACGAGCGCGGGGTGCATTTTCCGCTTCTGGGTTGCGGATTGGTTTGCGCTGCTCAACAACAAGATGGGCGGCGATCTGAAGAAGATCCGTAAAGTCGGGCAGTACATGATCGAAATCTGGAAAGCCGTCGGCATGAACATGGACAACGTGCAATTTCTGTGGGCATCGGACGAGATCAACGCCCATGCGGACGAGTATTGGACGCGCGTGATTGACGTCGCGCGCAAGTTTAACGTGGCGCGCATCCAGCGATGCTGCACCATCATGGGTCGCAAGGAAGCCGACGACATGAGCGCCGCGCAAATGATGTATCCGTGCATGCAGTGCGCGGACGTATTCTTCCTCAAGGCCGACATCTGCCAGTTGGGGCTGGACCAGCGCAAGGTTAACATGCTGGCGCGCGAGTACTGCGACGAAGCTAAGATCAAGTTCAAGCCCGTGATCATCAGCCACCACATGCTCATGGGGCTCAAGCAAGGCCAAGAAAAGATGAGCAAGAGTGACCCGGACTCGGCGATCTTTATGGAAGACACGGTGTCGGACGTGAGCCGCAAGATTAAGAAGGCGTACTGCCCTCCCGGCGAAGTGGACGGAAACCCTATCATGGACTACATGAAGCACATCATCTTTCCCATGTTCCCCGACGGCGTCGTTGTTAAGCGCAAGGAAGAATTCGGCGGCGACAAGTACGTTCATAATGCGATGGAATCGCCCTGGTTCATATGACGGCACTTTTCCACAGGACCTACCTCACGTACGACGAAATGGCCGCCGACTACCTTGCGGAAGCCATCCACCCCGGTGACCTCAAGCCGTCGCTGACGGAGCACTTGAACTTGTACGTGCTCTGCTGCGTGGATAATCTCGTCGGCACGAACTGATGGCATGGTGGGTGTGGTGTAGGATCCTCGAACCCGTGCGCAAGCATTTTGAACAAGGCGAGGCCAAGAAATTGCTGGCGGAAATCAAGAAATTCAAAATCACCAGATAAGCAACGCCCTGTCGAGTCTCAGCAACGCGCGATGGCATTCATGTCGAGGTCGTCCTCGTTGCTCGTGTTTAACCCTCCAACAAAATCTAAACGAATGAGTGGAATCGCTTTGGTTCACATTATGACCCAAAGTGCTCGCACCGGAGCTTGTACAACGGATGCATCGGGTTCACAATTTGAAGCGGGTCGTCCGATACGAGCCACAACGTCAGCGCATACCGCTGGGCGCGCTCGTCGGTTGGGGCATTTGCACATGGCCGCACGTCGTGGACGACTTGGTCGCTCCAGAAGACGGCCAACGTGTCGGATCGAGGTTCCACGGCCACGACGCCGCCGTCCTTGGTGTATACTTGGAGCTCACCGCCATGCGCTGGCTCCCAATGCGGATTCAAGTAGTACACCATCGTGACTTTGCGCTGATCGGGCAATCCTGCAGTATCGCAGTGCTTGGGATCTTACACATGAGGAGGCGTCATGACGGGGAAGAGAGGGAACGAAGACGCTTACATGAAGCACCGTCGCCGAGAGACACGGCCAACTTGGACGCGTACGCCCGAGAGCTGATCTGAAGCTCCGGGAATAGTTCGTTGAGCATAGATGGGGCTTGCAACATTATGCTTCGAGTGTAGTGGAGTATCGTCGGGGCAACGTCCCATTCGTGGCCGTCCAGTTCCGATGCAAACACGTTGTTTTTCGGAAACGATTTGCCTTGCTCGTCGACTGACATGGATTGAAACATGTAGCCCTCTTTGTACAGCCGTTCTGCCTCATGGCGCATGGCCGTGGCGACGGTGTTGGAGGCAAAGCCACGCAAGATGCAAAACCCTTCGGACTCCAAGCCTTGTCGCAGCGCCTCTCGCGTGGCTGGTGGGAAGAGTGGCAGCAGCACATTTTCGTCAATGACCTGGTTCGGAGAGGATGCAAACCCTCGGGGGCGAAGGACCGCTGACGCTGGCCGTAGACCTGTCCGCAACCATCGCGTCGCCGTGATCATCATCGTTGTGGCGCTCAATTCAAAGGGCACCAGTGCTATGAATCCGGTTAATAAGCACAAATGCATCCGAATAATGATACGTCGAATTTCGGACAAATTTCGAAGTAACGTTAACTTTGGATCCCGCTTCAATCACATTGACGGGAAGATGACAGCGGCGGCGTCCGATGCCACCAATGTGTTTGTGTACGGCACTCTCAAGCGGGGCTTCCCAAACTTCGCGCTATACCTGGGACCTGCAGTCGAACGTAAGAAGGCAGTATTTCTGGGAGATGGCACCACGTGCTCCCCGTATCCGCTTGTAGTGGGCGGCGACCGGTCCGTACCATTCTTGTTGAACGTGCCAGGCGAAGGTGCCCCGATCTCCGGCGAGGTGTACTCTGTCGATGTATCGACGCTGGAGGCGCTGGACATTCTCGAAGGCATCAGTGACGGGTACTACAAGCGTGTTTTGGTTCCTGTCCACGTTCGATGCAGCAACGTCACGCTCGACTGCTTTGTGTACATGCGAGTCGTTGCACAGGACAACGACCCGTTGCTGCAACTGGAGCGCGTGACCAGCTACACAAAAGAAGCAGCTCAAAATTACAAGTCCCGCACGAAGTTGCCCAACGTCGCCATCCTAGCACTTATCCACGACCTGGACGAACACATGAGGCACACAGTTCAAGCGAAACTCGAAGCGGGCGAGTCCCTCGACGCTGCTTTGCGCGCCAGCACATCTAACTCCTCCTAGGGCTAATAGAAAGCAGGCCAGAGGTCCTGATGCATTTGGATTTTACAGAAAAAAATCAAGATCCAGTGGATAGATTGTAAGTTTACCCATCGGCGTCCGCCATTCAGCTCTATAATACCATGCACGCTGCCCTACTTACCACTGCCCGGTTCGAACGACAATGACCGTGATGTCGTCGCGACTGCCGCGGGCAACACTGTCCTGCGCAATAGCTTCGCACGAGCATGCGCACCCGACGCTGCCGTCCTCGGCGACCTGGTTGTCCATCCACGTCGAGTCAGCAAGACACAGCACATCTCGGCTGGACATGACATCCCACACACCGTCGGTTGCGAGCACGTACAAGCTGTCTGGACAGAGCTCAGCCTCGTTGATGTCGGGGTCGGCAATCACCCATCCTTCCATCCCAGGCATCTTCATGTCCAAGTCCCCAATGCTTCGCGACGGCGCCAACACGCCAGCGACGCGATCCATGATTACATGCCCGCCTGCCTTGGCGATTCGCTGCTTTTCCAAAGGACAACTGGCTTTGTGATCCGTCGACAGTTCCATGTACTCGCGTCCCTTCTTTCTTCGCTCCAGCGCAGACACACGACAATCTCCGCAATTCACGACGAACCTTGTGCGTCTGCCGTCTTCTACGACCACTAGCGCCACAAAACACGCGCCACTGAAATCGTTCGCAACGGTGGCAACTTCTGCAAATCTCGTCTCGAGGGTTGCTGTGGCGTGGCGAAGCGTCTCCACCGTCAGCTCTGGTTCCTCGTCGAGGATGTCCACGAGGTGGGTCTTCACGTACTCGGAGGCCAAGTCACCGCCGTGACCGTCGATGACGGCGAAGACACTGAATCGAGGTCCGCGGTACACCACGGCGCGATCTTCGTTCGAATGTGATGGGCTTTTCCACGACACAAACGCGCTGCTCAGCGGCACAAGATCCTTTTCATTGTTCGTAGACTGGTTGTCTTCTTGCTCGTTGTGTTCGTTGCCCAATGCGTCGGCCACGTCGTGAAGATCCAACGAAACTGGACACACGTTGCCCTTGGCGAACTGTTCGTGCTTTCCATGAGCGACCGCGGAGTTGCCGTCGGATGTTGTCATCATGGACAGCTGAATGTTAGAGCGCTGAAAGTCCATGTCGTGTCCAGCGCAGTGGTTGATGGGCGATGTGGTCGAAGCAAGTTCTTCCGCGTCGCGATCGATATACCGTGTTGGACGCGGTGAGGAAGAACAAGTAAGCTTGCTGCTGTTTAATTTCTCAATAGAATAATACAAACATCAAGATTAAAATAGGGAAACTATAGGAAAACTCGGTCCACGACCAAGCCAAGTTGAAGCAATTTTACATAAAGTTGACTTGCTTACATCATGAAGGGTCTCGTCGTGACACAAAACCTCCACATGTGCAACAGCAGGAAACATGAGCAAGTAGCATAAATGCTGTAAATTCTCAATGCATTTTCCATTGTTCACGTATGACAGTTAACAGAAAAACTGCTACCTGGTGCTTTTCCTTGATATGTTCGTGTGATCGTATGTACAGGCGATCTGAATCAAGTCACACTGGGGGCCGAAGCGCTGAGCGGATGGCACGATCACCAGTAGCGATGCTATTGTGACCGCGACCTTTTCATTGCTGTGACAATGCGATGTGTACATGGATGGACACCACCTGGGGCAGACGCTGTGGGGGCTGTGTATTTTCAGCGAATCAAGCTCCAGGAGGAGTTATACACAAATATAATTGGTCTATTATCAGCGAATCAAACACGTTCGTTCTGCATCATGAAAGGTAAAATTAGAACTCTTGCGCTGCTGCCCTTTGTCACTCCGCCGCATTGCGATGACGATCACGACTCGGTCGAGGCGGGCCACTGCTTTCACGAGTGGGCACACGCCAGCCGTTGTTGGCCCTGGGTCTTATGCACCTGACAATGCCACTCATCCGATCGTGCAACCGAGGTACGCTCAACTTCAGCGAGATCCATTCCCATGTGCTGCACAGCTACTCCGCCTTTGCAAGTTCGAACAAGCGAGACTTGAACAAGAACACTGGGACGTCAGCAATCACCCCAGGTAGGTCACGAATTGAAGAAAGCGAGGGTGCAGTCCCACCTGAATGCCCGGTACAGGTCCTGGGGCGTACGCCACGGACGCCACGGCAGGCCACACCTCTGGAGTTGCCTGTGGCCAGTCGTCCAACGTGTTCACGACAAAGGTGCAATTCCCACAACGATGAACCGTTGTACTGATAGAGCATACCCTGAAAAGGTGCCTCGGTTTGCTCCCCACGCACCAGGATCGACCATCTACCTTCCTTCCACAGTCAATGACAACCCCGGTCCCGGAGCGTACTCGTGCCCAAGTGCTCTGGAACCGACAGACAAGTTCACGGCGATGCGCCCAACGTCGCATCAGTTCTCCAACTTGATTAAACAAGGGGTCCCAACCATTCCTCGAAAAGACCAAAGCTACGGGTACAGCACCGATGGCGACGGCGACCTCCACCGGCACTCAGCCCCCGCTTCGACGTACTCTGGGCTGGGCAATGACACCGTCGGGCCAGCTTGCTACAACGTCCGAAAGGAGCCAGGGGGTGACCTTGCTGCCACCGTGGCCAGCTTGAAGTCCACGACCAAGCGAGACGTATGGGACGAATTGTCCCCGCGACTCGATATTCCAGTACCACGTCAGCTTCATGCTGTCGCAGCAGCTCATCCTGTCGTTGCCCCTAGGGCCCAGGCCATTACAACCCCAAGGGACTCACGTCGACAATGGACAAGGCAGAAAAACCAAGCGCCGTGTTTGCGTCCAAGGTCCCGATATTGCCCGAGCCGCGGCGGATCCAGCAAGACGACGAGAAGGCGTTGCTCCTGGCCCTTCACGAGCAAACCCACGTGCGAAAGTCCAAGTTTCGGGGAATCAAGAAGGAGCAATTCGGATCCACGTCGGGGCGCACCGACATCGCGTCCAACATGCACACACCGTTCGTGACCCCCACGTGCAACGAAACCCCCGGGCCTGGCACGTACGTGGACAAGAAGAAGAACCGATATGCCGTCAATCGTATACATCAACGGCCGACTCTCCGCGACGACGGCGTCGGGTTCCAAGCAGTGTCTGAGCGGCCATGCCTAGCCAAAACGAAAACCAACAACCCGATGGTCAGCACCACACGCAAGAAGGAGTTGTCATCGAGTCACTCGGTAGGGGCCTGGCGCGTACAACCCGACGGGCTACGGCCACACGCTGGAGAAGAAGGTGCGACAGCGTCAAGGGATCGGACGGATGGGGCAGTTTGGATCGACAACAGAGCGGTTCCTGTGGAACATGACCCCCGAATCCATGGAGCCGGAGGAGCAAACCCCCGGACCTGGAACATATATCCCGGCACAACCCCCGCACAACCGCACTGGTCCCGCCAACGGACGGCGGCCCCGTGTGTACACGTCGTCCGCGTTCCGGAGCACCACCGAGAGGTAATATGTGTGGTTGTGTCGACGTGATGCGTCATTGCGTGCTTGGTAGATTTGCCAAAGGCAACAACCACGCGCCAGAGTTCCACATCGTCGGGGCATGTTCGGCGCCTGCAGTCGGCGACTACGACCTGGTCAACCCCCCGCAGCACAAAGTCGCGACGAATCCGTACCTGAAGATCCCGTTTATGTCCCAGGGACAGCGCAGCGAGATCGGCCAAGACATGAAACAGATGGAAGTGCCGGGGCCAGGCCAGTACGAAGTGTTGTCGCCACGGGACCTTGTTGTTGGGACACAAAGCCGGACGCGAACGAATGCTGTCCGATCGACGTTGGGAACGAAGCCTCGCTTCGACAAAGGCCCGTCCAAGCCACATGAGCTGCTTGGTCCCGGGTCGTATGCAATTCCGACCACAATTGGCACCAAGAGCTTCAACGTTACGATGAAACCAAAAACATGATGCTGATACGTTGCGCTCATGTCATGCCCTTGTCGAGAACTACACAGGGCACACGCATCCTTGAAGCTCATGATAAAGGGAATGATGAAGGAGGTAGCAAGCTTGTGTTGGTAAGACCATAGCGTGTCGAGATAAGTACCGCGGATGCAAGCATGTCCTTGCATCATATCAGCCAAGGTCAGACCCCATCTACTCGCGAAGCATCGATGCCGTGGATGTCATGCGTCAATTCGTTTGCGGTCAATGCCCCTTTGAAATATGGCATGACCTCGGAATCCACTCTGCAATCATTGCGTGCATGCAGTTGGGTGAAAATTCCTTCCGCCTTCCGCGGCAATGCATGAGGAGTAACACACACAGAAGATCCAGCGATGATTTTCTCCGTGGAGACCTGTGGCGTGATGAAGAGACAAACATTGGGCGCCAGGATTGTGATATGTGGCGGCTCCACATCCCGTCAAACAGTCGGGGTGTCCACAGTTGATCGCAGTTGTGATTGAATGCCGTCGAAGTGAGCACCTGGCGCTGTCGATTTCCTCTGGCGCGGCTAGATCAAGGTAGAACATCCAGCTCGACCGACCAAATTGGCGTCGCGCTCGTCCTCGAACAAGGTGGATCACGTGCTGTCACGTTCACAAGTGGATCGCCCAACTTTGGGAAAAGCTTTCACGCGAAATTCTTCAAAACTGCCAAAATTGGGAAATAATGTCAAAAATGGGAATACGTGCCGAAATCGAATGATGTCGTGGGAAGGGTAATTACCTTGTACAAGCTGTACGAAGCAAAAGCACCAAAATGCATGGAAAAAGATGAAAACTTTCAACCTAAATAGGCAAGAATATGTCGATTTTGCGGTCCTTTACGCCTATCGCAAGATCCAAGGTCAAAATCCCACCACAGTTGCAAGTCAACGGTGATTGGTCAAATTCCTACGAGACAACCACAGAGATGTCATTTTGAAAAAGGACGGGAGGAGCACGAACATGAGCGACGACGTTGAGTACACGGTGGACACCCCGAGCGAGCAACTGTGGAGCGCCATCGATGACCTGCGAGAGAAGCGCGATAAGCTGGTGTGCCTATCCCCTCCGATTGTGTTCCATCATGTGACAAAGCCGTGTCTGCTGTAGATGACGATAAGTCGCGCGGAAGAGATGGGTTTCAACCAACGCCTCGACATGTACAAACGGCAAGTGACGAATCCTGCGATGAAGAACAATGCTGAAGCACAAATTCGGTTGATGCAACAACAACGGACATTTGCCGAGCAAAACTTGCGCCGCAACACACAGAAAATTGATACACAGATCGATACTATCAACCGACTGCTCGAAGAGAAAAAAGTTCGAGGTACATATAGGCATCTACATCGCTCTGTGTTCAACTAGATTCTCATGACGACGTGTCTAGACCAACGTGAGCTGGAGGTCGGCCTGACCGAAGTCAAAACCGACGTGTCCAATCTGAAGCTTGTAACGAGTGAACTGACGGGTCAAATCAATGCACTCAGGGCAGAAGCTCAAGCTCGAAAGAAGGAATTCGACGCGAGTATTGCCGAAATCCGTCAACAGGCCACCGCGTCCTCCGAGTGGAGCGAAGATGTGTACGCTCAAATTTACACCTTGCAAGCGCAGGCGCAAGTGCTCATGGCGGAATACGATGCCAAGCAAAAGGCCCTTCGAGAGAAGCAGTACATCGACGAAAACCCATCGTATTCTCGGGTGTACTCGACTGTTTTTTCCAAGATGAACGAGATTTTCATCGCGTCCAAGGCGATTGCGAGCGGCATGGTGACACGTGAAGCGTACTCGGACGGCGAGAAGCTCGCAAGTTACATGACCCTACTCAACGAAAAGATTCCGTTTCCACCTGCGCAAATGGTCATGACGTGCATTACGAACCGCGTCGAAGGTATTTCAGCGAAGCGGGAAGAGGACCGCATCAACAACATTTCGTCGAACGCGAGCAGTTTTTCCGAAATGGACGAGGTAATTTGTTTTTGCTGCCCCCTGTGCGTCCTCCCTAACATGGTTTACCTAGATTTGCGATTGGATTGCCCGAGGCCTCGTGTTTGCTTTCGAGGAGCAAATTCAAGCCATGACTGCCAAGGGCGTCGAGACGTTCAGCGAGTGCTTGGTTCGCGGTGTGATCGAGTTCCTAAGCACGCCTCCCGCCGAGCGTGACGCGGGCCTACCGCACCACTCGTCCGTCGACAACCCCCTCGATCCCGCCGCGCTCCTGGTGTCCCAAGTGCTGGTATTTTTGTGTCGCAAAGATTACCAAAAGGTCGAAAATGGCGTTGAAAAAGTCGCGTCCGGGTGTTTCTCTTTCCTCGAATTCAGCTTCCTTGCGTCGTTTGCCCAGCGGAGCAGCACTGCGGCGACCCTCGAGCGATCGAAGAATCCCGTTGCGATTGAAACACGCATTCCAAACGTCGAGTGGACAGATGTGGGCATTTTCCAGTTGTCCGGGCTGCGCACAGCGACCGGCACGACATGGTACGGCGACGACAGCCGCCCCGACCTTTACGGGTACCGTCTCGGTGGCGTGCGCGATGCATTTCAACTGCACTACATCGAGTACCCAACCCGCGCAACGAGCAAAGTCCTCCCATTGACCGAAGATCAACTCGACCGGAATCCCGAAGCCCACCGTAAGGTTTGGGAAGGTCGTTGAGTGCAACCACCAACTTTGCCAAGGAGGTTTTCACGTTGTCGTTATTTCGGTCCATCCAAACGATATGTTGGTCAACCATAGCCCCTCGCAATATCTCGAGACGGTCTATGCAGAGAACGCCGTCGACATTGACGTTTTGACAATTGTATGGCCGACAGATCCACTTGTATTGACCGCTTGAACCTGTGCCCTCATGAAGCACCATCGCAAAGCATGCACCGCACGACGTTGATGAGGTTCTGAATGCGTTCGTCTAGCGTCTCGATGGATGCAAGCAACATCACCACGCCAGAGGACTTGGCGCGCAGAGAAAAATCCACAGGGTCGCGCACTCGGTCTAGACATGTTCATGGCTTCCACGATGACGTCGACGGGGTTGTACCATATTGCCACATCGCAACGACAAAGCGCAGTCCCCACACCATGATCGAGTCGCCGACGGTGGCGGCGGGATGCGCGGCCATACGATTTGCTGCTTGATGCAGCAGCACCACCAAACTCGGACCGATCACATCTTTGGACTCCATCAGGAATTCCAAGTTGGACGCTACATGACGGTCCGTGGGTGACGAGATGAAGGATGACAGAATTTGCGCGCCTCACCATGCTGCGCAGCCACCACCATGTTCTTGAGCGCCCATTCTTGCACAGAAAGGTTGTCTTCGTGGTCCAAGAAGCACACCAACATGCACTGGAGCACCATCGTGGACAGCTCCTCGACTTGCTGGAACCGCGAGTAGTTGGTTGTGAACGCTGCGTGGATCAACTCGAGAATCGACACGCGCATGGCCGGCGCCCCCCGGTGTGTGGCCATGCCAGACAAGATGCGTTCGATCCCGCTGCGGTTTACTTGATCGCGGGCGACGGCTACCATTCATGCGGCATCAAATCGGGACCGTGCAAGGCGGCGGCAACTTACCGTCACGCACAGCCAGGTTTCGCAGCAAGCGTATGCCCCACAGGACAATGTCCGGGTTGCCCGCGTAAGCCTGAAGAAGCGGCGTGATCTTCGCCAGTCCAAAGGATGTATAGCATGGGGGAAGCGGCGCGAGTTCCGGCGTCTTCGAGTCTATTTCAACGAATGTGTCGGTCAAGGCGTCCAGGCAGCCACTCTACAGTTTACCTGCGATGGAAAGGAGGGACACGATGCCGAGAAGGCTGCGGGCCATGCACTCGCCAGGTCGATTGGGGTGCACGAGGAAGAAGAGCGCCGTCTCCAATCCGACACACTCATCGTCCAGAAACAAGTGTCTGCAATTATACTTGGCCAGGACGAAAAGGACGCAGCACAGATCTTCCACGACGGACGGACTCGGCATGCGCTGCGAACCATCCGTCAGTGGCGCTGCGGTCGTTGGACGGACCTACCTCGGTCTTGGCGCGGACAAACAGTCGAACGAGGTACTCGTTGTGATCGCTCGCGAATTTGGCCGTGTGCTTGATTTGAATGGCGGACCGCTGGCCCGGCGCAAACGGCGACAGGATCGCCCGCAGCGCCCCCACGCACAGACTGTCGCGTCCGTGACATTTTCCAACGGCGATGAAACGATGCCCCGCTCACCTGAGGAATGGAACATTGTCATGGAATCGCCGCGCTGCCGCTTGAATGTTCTCGACGAACTTGTGGTGCATGCACTGGTCAATGGCCGGTGCTGCGCTCCTCACCAAAACAAGGGCCGGTGGAGCGTTTATAAAGGCGGTATGGACATACGTTGGGCCACACAGATCTGGCGGACTGCGTTGATTGCATGCTCCTGGCAAGGTGCGGCATGTCAGACGAAGATGCTTTCATCGCGGACAAGACCTGAAGAATCGCGCAAAGGGGAAATCGCTCCATGGCGTCCCTCAGTGCCGGGAAAATCCGTTGGTTTACCAGCCGCCATGGCATCGAGTTGGTCGCAGACGCATCTACGTCACCCGGCCGTCGGTCTCGACGTGAGCAGTTGCAAGGACGCACCTTCCGTCATGCAGCACGCCATGTACGCGCCCCACACTTGGACATCTTCGTCGTTGGGACACTGCAGCATGGCGTCGACGACACCCAGTTTGCCGTTGTACTCGGTCGTATGGTCGTCCTATTTGAAGGAACGCTTCTATCGACGTGCTCTCTGCGATGTCGACGGGACGGCACGTACTTTGACTCGATGCATCTGGGCCACGGATTCGACTTCTCTCTCGAGCAATGCCTTGGCTGCATCGGCCTGAGCAATCGCGTACTGGTACCGAAACAGCGCTTCCTCGAGCTCGGCGTGCAGGTCGTTGCCTGCAGTCATAAGTCTGACGTGCACGGCGGGCGTCCTGGCAAACGATGGAACCCACCGATCGAGCGCTGCGTGCGGATATCGTCGTCCAAGCGTTGGAGTGTACGCTTTGCCAGCACAAGATGACCGCGTCGGTCGTCCTGCATCTGGCACTTTGCGCGGAAAGCCTACACGGCAAGAGTCCGTCGGGATGCGCTTCTCGTTGACCTCACCATCCATTCTTCGAGTCGTTGGCTGGTCACATCTTCCACGGCCATTTCGGTGGCATGGGCTTCAGCGTGCAGTCGCGCCGTCTCCACGTCGAGTCGCTCGTGCAAGGTGCGCTACGCACAGAAATGTGTCACACAACGCGGCGAGTGGACGGACGCATGGCACCGAGTTGTGTTCGCTGGCTTGAAGCGCAGCGACTTGCTCTTGCAATGGCTTCACAATCGCGTCCACCATGATCTGCCATGCCGCAAATTCACATGGCGCTCGGTTCGACTAGAACACAAGCCGACGTTGCGGTGTGATGGGACGAGCGACGCCTGGCGCTACCGCGTCGAGGATGCCAAAGTCTGCGTCGGCGTCGATCAGAAGTTGAAGCACGTCGATGTTGCCCTGCTTGCATGCCAAATGAAGCGCCGTCGACCCAACCTACTTGGCTACGATGAAAAGTCATTCATGGCATTTGACGACCTTGTTTTGAGCGTTGACATGAACGCCGTGCTGCAGCAAGAGGGCCACCATCGCAGCGTTGTTTTTCTGGACGGCGACATGAAGTCCGGTGGCCTGCATTGCCGCCGGGAGGCGCGAATCCATGTCCAAGGAATGGCCGTGGCGGGCCAACAATACCTCGAGGCCAGCCACGTCGCTCTTGTTCACGAACGACCAGTACGACTTGACGAGCTGGCCCGTGTTGAGTCTGGCGGCGGGGCGGTTCGTGTCGACGCCACTCGCTTTTCTTGGCATCACGTTTGCTTGGACGTCGTCGTTGCATTGTGATGCGAACAAAACGCTCCAGTGCTGTGAAACCAACAAATGCCGAAACGGCGCCGACGAAACGACGGTCGGTGCCGCCAAACATGGCCAAGCCCAGTGTCGCAGCCGAGGACTTTACGCAGTACCTGCAGCATCTGAAGGAGTCGGGCCTCGCGGGACAGCCGGTCCAAGTCACGCTCGACCACTTTACTTTTCGCAAACCCCACGATCCGTCGTCGTTTGTGCTGCACGATGTCCACGGCACACTCGAACCTGGGTCCATGACACTTGTACGTTCAACGCGAGTTTGCCCGAATTAACATGTTCTCCCCGGTTATAGGTCCTCGGGCCGCCTCAGAGCGGGAAATCCGCTCTCCTCAAGACCCTCGCAGGCGTGTACCACTACAAGGGCTCGCCGACCAAGCACATCACGGGCTCGGTGTCGTACAATGGCCTCAGTCCCCGCGACATCCATGTCCACGACATCGCAACGTTCGTCGGCCAGACGGACGAGCACATCCCGACGTTGACCGTGCTGGAAACGTTCGAGTTTGCACATGCATGCCGCGGGCCGTCCAACAGCACCGAATGGCAACGATCGGCCGTCGCCCTCGTGAATGCCCTGGGACTGACTACATGCGCCAACACTCGCGTTGGCAACGAAATGCTGCGTGGTATCAGCGGTGGCCAACGTCGCCGCGTGTCGCTCGGCGAAATGGTGACGGGCCAAGCACCGCTCCTCCTCTTGGACGAGTACACGACCGGCCTCGACACGACGGTCGCACTGGCGCTCACGACCAAGCTCCGCGACATGTGCAAATTCCTCCAATATACACTCGTGTGCTCTTTGCTGCAGCCTCCACCTGAGGTGTTTGAGCTATTCGACAACATCGTCCTCTTGAACGAAGGCCACGTGTGCTACTTTGGTCCGCGCACGGACTGCGTGCCGTACTTTCGATCGATCGGGTACGTGTGTCCGGGTCGTCTTGACGCCGCCGAGTTCATCCAGCACGTGTCGACGGATTTGGGCAAGCTGACCAAGGATGCAGCTTTCACTGGCGATGTGCCTTGTACGCCGGTGGATTTTTCCAACGCGTTCCGAGCGTCGCCAGCCGCACTCGTACGGCGGCACGCGGCCGCCATCCCTTTGTCCCAACGTCCTCCACACGTCAAGAAATCTCTCGTCAAGCAGTTTGCGCTAGTGTTTCAACGACAGCTCAAGCTCGTGCGCCGCGACAAGCGATTCAACAGGGTGCGAGTCGGGCAAAGCACCGTGTTTGGCGTCATCATCGGGTCCCTCTTCTGGCAACTCGACGACGGCCCACACTCCCTCGTGTCCAAGGCTGGTCTCTTCTTCCTCACCATCTTGTTTACGTCCATGACGACGATTTCCAACATTGCGTATACGATGGAGGTTCGTCCCGTCATTTTAGTCCCCACATCACCGTGGTCGTAGGTTCGCAACATTTACATCAAGCAGTCGTACTTTCAACTGTACCCCGCGGCCGTGTACGCAGTATCGGAGAGCGCGATCGAGGTCGCCGCGACGCTCGTCCAAGTGCTGCTTTTTACGGTCTCGTCGTACTGGATGTGTGGGTTCTCGGACACGAACAACGGGATGCCGTACGGGTTCTATTACGTCGTGGTGTTCCTCAACAGCGTGAGCATGTGCCAGCTCTTCAAGTGCTGCGGCGCGGTTGCAGCGACCCGAACGACGGGTCTCATCTTGGCCGCCACGTTTATCTTTATCGAGCTCGTGTTTTCAGGATTTGCCGTGCGCGAGTCGGTGCTCCCGGACGGCCTCAAGTGGATCTACTGGTTGAATCCAGCCTCGTGGGCGTTCCGCGGACTCGTCCAGAACGAATTCAGCTCGCCCGTGTCTGCGTACGACGCCATCCACCCTCGCCTTCACATCCGCATGGGTCACTACTACATGGCGTTGATGGGGGTAAGCCAGAATCTGGACTACATGCCAGGGGCCGTCGTGTACTTGCTCGGGTTCTTTGTCGCGCTTGTGATGGCGACTGCCCTGGCGTACCATACGCTCAAGCATGAGAAGCGATACAGCGGGGATAGCGCCGCCCGCCACCGCACGGTGCTGGACCCGATGGCGCAGACGAATCGTCGAGACAGTGTCAAGCTCGTGGCCGACCAGTTTCCAGTGGACTTTGCACCCGTGACACTGTCGTTTCGAGACCTGCGATACACCGTCGTCGTACGTGCCACAATCCATTTTTCGAGGCTTGTTTAACATGGACGTTTAGCTCGCCGACAAGGTAAAGGCCAAAGGCGGAGCGAAGTATGCTACCGTGGAGCTGCTTCGCGGGATCCACGGCCATTGCAGGCCCCACACGCTGACTGCATTGATGGGGTCGAGCGGCGCGGGAAAGAGCACGCTCTTGGATGTACTGGCTGGGCGGAAGAACTCCGGGACAGTCGCCGGCGAGCTCTTTGTCCAGGGACGGCCCATGACGAAGCGTGACCAGCGCAGATTCGGATACGTCGAACAAACAGACATGCATTGCATGCGGACGACGGTCGTGGAGGCGTTCGAGTTCAGCGCGCGCCTGCGTCTGCCAGAGTCGGGCCAGCGCAACGCCCGCAACATCATCCAGTCGACGTTGGGGCTTCTAGAACTCGGCAACATCCAGCACGCGTCGCTGACAACGCTGTCCGGGGAACAGATGAAGCGCGTCACGATCGGCGTCGAGTTGGTAGCGAACCCGAGCGTCCTCTTCCTGTACGTGGTGTGACAACGATTCGGTGTACCCCCTTGGGTGGTGGGCACCTCTTGCCTCAAAGCCCACCGCTGAAGTGGCCATCGTGTAGAGATGAGCCCACGAGCGGCTTGGACGTCCATGCGGCCAACGTCGTGATGGAGGCGGTCAAACGAATCGCTGCCGCCGGCCGCACGGTGATATGCACGATTCACCAGCCAAGTCTGTCCCTCTTCGAGCTCTTCGACGACTTGATCTTGCTCCAGACGGGTGGGCTTCAAGTGTACTGCGGTCCCGTTGGCCTCGAGAGCTCCGACCTCCTCGGCCACTTTGAATCGATCGCCAACGTCCGAATGCACCACAACGTCGAAAACCCGGCAACGTACATGCTCGACGTGATGACAGCGCACCCGGAAATCGACTTCCACGCGATCTACTCGACCAGCGCCCAGCGCGAGAAGACGCTGAAAGCGATCGAGGCCGTGTGCCAAGCCCACGACACCGACGCGGCCGGACGCGTCGTGGTCAAGTCGTCCGAATCGACGACGACGCATGGTGGCGGGTACGCCACGTCGTTCGGGACGCAATTTTGGTGGCTCTTGCATCGGATGTGCCGCAAGTACTGGCGCACTAGAGAGTACAGCGCTGGTCGCGTGGGGGTCAACCTGTTCGTCGCGCTGCTCCTGGGGCTGCTCTTTTCCGCCAAACGCCTGACGTACACGAGTGACGTGGATTCGCAAATGGGCCTCGTCTTCATCGCGCCGTTGTTCATGGGGGTCATCGCTGTGATCACAGGTATGCATCGCCGCGTTTGTCACCCTGCGACCGCACTCACGGGACGCAATCGCAGGGCTGCCCGTCGTCGATGCCGAGCGCATGGTGTTCTTTCGCGAACACTCGTCGGGGATGTATGCGGCCTTGCCGTACTCGCTCGCGGTCGGCGTCGTCGAGCTGCCGTACGTCGCGTTCAACGGCACGGTGTTTGTCGTAGTGTTTTACTACTTGGTCGGGCTCCACCCGACGGCGGATGCCCTCGGCTGGTTCTACGTCCTCTTCGTCTGCTACACGCTGTACGCAACGTACTTGGGACAATTCCTCGTGACGACGCTGCCGGACGTGCGGACCGCGACGGTCGTGTCCGGGGCGCTCAACTCTGTGTTTTCCATCTTTTCGGGGTACTTTATTCACCGCGACAAGATTCCGGCGGCGTGGAGTGGACTGTATTGGGTCAGCCCCCTCCATTACATGATGGAAGGTGTCATGGTGACGCAGTTCCTCCAGAACGATGGCAACGTGACCGTCGGGTCGGCGTCGACGGGCGCCCTCGCCCCCGATCCAATCTCCATCCGCCAGTACGTCGACTCGGTGTTTGACGGGACCATCTCGTACGACCACCGGTTCCAAGACCTGGTGGCGCTTCTCGTTTGGATTGCCGTCCTTCGCGTCGGCAACGCACTCTCCCAGGCGTACATCTCGCACGTTTCGCGATAGCCGAACAACTCATGCCACGGATTCGAGGTGAACGTGCGCGTAAAACAACGAAGCTCGTACGTTCATCCGACGGATGGCTACGATGCCCCCTCAGTTGGAAAGGGGGACGACGGACTCAGGAACGCAGAAATGGGCTGCCCTTTGCAAATATACGTTGCCGCACTCTGGCCACCTTGTGATTCCACGCCTGCGACGACTCAGGCATCGTGAAACGCAGCTCTCACAAAAAGAACTAGTCCGGTAGCCGCCGTCCTTCGACATGGCTCGGTGCAGCCATGACAAGGAACGGCTGCATCCCCGAATGGTAATGCACGCCGCTGCCTGTGCGAGCGGCAAAGTGGGCAGAGGCATCGCACTCACCACTTCACGATGAACCAAGCGATCGCCGTCGCACCAGTCTGTGCCGCGTCGGGGGCGCTTCGATCGCGTTGCAACTTATACAACTGTGGAAGAGCCTATGTGATTGCCACTCGAGACGACGGAAGATGAATGGGACTGGACGTGATCGGCGGGCCAAACTGTCGTTGCGTCGGGGGAGGTTGTCGCCAGGTACGCGTGTGGTACGGGTTCAATGGGGGGGTGGCCCACTAGTGTGGCATGATATGGGTGGTTTCGCAATCGTCGCTGGCGTCGTTGTTGTAGTCGGAGGGTTGGATGTAGCCGATGGTTGAGTGGCTGAAAGTGTGTCGTCGTCGTGGGACTCTCTTTACAATCGTCAAAGCGGCAGCGCACACTCCCCCGAGACTCGGCATGACCTCCCCCGACGAATCGCTTGACCAACACGGGGCGCTCCCAGACGACTTGGTTTACACTTGCTTCACCGCACGTGACGGAACGAAGGATGCAGCCCGATATCGCCTTTGTGGTGCAGTCGGCGGTCTCCTAGACGATTCATGCCGAGGGTATGGCTTGCCAGGACGACAACTCGTGCTCTGCCCACTCGTTTCCCCTCGCTCCGCCCCTACCCTACCCCTTACCGACTCCAGTGTCGACCCTACCCCTGTGTACACCCCTAACCTACCCCTGTGTGCTGGTGGTACTCCCCTAGAGTTGGCTCTACTCGCAGGACGCCCCCCTCCCACCACGTTGATAGACTCTTCCCCATCATCTCTTCAACGCCACCAACTCCCCCGCACCCCCTCGCGGTCCTTCGGGCTGTAGACACTCGCGATGACGGGCAATTTGAACGTCAAACTACTGGGGCTTGTCCACGTAGTGCTTGTCATCGGAATCGATGCGGTGGATGGACGACTTGCCGGCACGGCTCCAAGTTGCCAAATGCAATCTCCCGATAGCTATTTGATCTGTCTGAGACACTGTTGAAGATAGCGCACATGAAAACTGTGGGTGCAGGCCCTTGATGCGGACCCGTCCACGACGACGACTCTGGTGTGAACTGACACGCACTCTAGGATCGTGGCATGTCAAGATGGGGTTCTATGTTGGCATTCACGACGTCCTGTACCCAGCCGACGGCATCCCTGAAAACAACGTGGGTGGTATGCATGGACAAAGACCGGTGGAGGTGGCGAGCATCGATGGTGCGGGTGCAGGCCTCGCCGAAGAGGGCATTAAGTGAGTCTCGATGGGTTGGACAGCTTGACATCGCACGTTGGCACTGTTTTCCTATCACTTGCCATCCCAATCGCTGGTGACGTGGAAGTTGCTGTCGCTGGCATTGCCAAACAACTCGCGGCGTGCGTGTGGACAAGGCAGCATGTTGGTGTCGTCGGCCTTGCAGTGCATAGAAGCTTGGTGCGGGCGCACCGCACGAACAAGTTTACTATGGGCGATCCTTCCATATCCTGTACGAACACCCGAGTTCCAACTAGAGGCGACGTTGTACGTGGCTGGGATGCTGCGGTGTGACATTCTTGGGCAGCTTTCAGAGCTTTCGTCCGCGGCCGCAGTGCGCAGTCACACACTACGACCCTGCTCTCGAATTTGACGGGCGCCGACCAAATATAGCCGAACACGTTTCAAATTTGCCAGTGCAAGTACAGTTCGCGGCGCACGTTGCGATGGCGGCGACGGCATCCAAATACGCGGCGTTCGTCAACACGCTCAAGGCGCAGGGTGCAAGCGAGTTGGCGACCGAGATATGCGTGTCGGGGCTCACATGGCGCAAGCCATGGAAAGACCACCGCGAGTTTGTCTTGTTTGACGTGACCGCGCGGTTTAAGCCAGGCAGCATGACGCTTGTGTTGGGGCCGCCTGGATGCGGCAAGACGAGTCTTCTCAAAGCCATTGCCGGGGTGTTCTCTACAGCGCCATTGAACGAGTCGGGGGGCGTCACATTCAACGGCATCGCAACGAACCGGCTACCCGCCGCGGACCTGCGCAGCCTCGTGACGTTTGCAGGCCAGCGCGACGAGCACATCCCGACCCTGACCGTGCACGAAACCCTCGAGTTTGCCCACGCATGTCGGTCCCAGACCTCAAACGCCGCAGTCTCGTTCGACGCGGCGGTCGGCACGGACGCCATCATTGACATGCTCGGGCTCACGGGGTGCCAGCACACCCTCGTGGGCGATGATTACGTCCGAGGAGTGAGTGGCGGACAGAGGAGGCGCGTCACCCTTGGTGAAATGCTGACCGGCCGCAGCCCCGTCCTCGTCCTGGACGAGTACACGACGGGGTTGGATACGACGGTCGCCACGGACATTACGCAAAAGCTTCGAGACATGTGCAAGGCAGTGCAGTATACGGTGGTGACGGCGCTACTGCAGCCGCCGCCAGAGGTATTTGCCCTCTTCGACAACGTGCTCATTTTGACGGAAGGCCACGTGGCCTACTTTGGGCCAACCGCCGACGCCACCGCGTATTTCGAGGCGCTCGGATTCACGTGCCCTGCCAGCACCGACGACGCCGACTTTCTCCAGGAAGTCGCGTCCGTCTACGGTGTGGCATTTAAAGCCCCCGGCGTGGGCAAAGTGCCAGGTACGGCAACGTCGTCCTTTCGTCGGTGCAATCTCGTCAACGGATGGTGTAGAGACCCCGGTCGAGTTTCACCAAGCGTTCAAAGAGTCGTCGTGGTACAGCACGCTCCACGTTCCCCGGTCCGTGGCGGCGGTCACGGGGGATGGCATCGGGCGAAAGGTCGTGCCATCCGACAGCGTCGCGCCGCCCGCGACGTCCCCGTCGCCCCCGTCATCTGCTGGACACGGTCGCTCGGCCATGTCGTCGGCACGTCGAGTGTTGCAAAGACAGTTGAAGCTCGTCGTCCGGGACACCAAGTTTAACATGATTCGGTTCGGCCAGAGCATCTTGATGGGCGTCGCGATCGGGTCGTTGTTTGGCAAGCTCGGCTACGATCCCCCCAACGTCCCGTCCAAGATCGGGCTCATGTTTCTCACGCTGCTCTTTACCTCGGTCATCACCCTCGCCAACATTGCGTACACGATTCAGGTACTCGCTAACCGTTTGTGTGGCTCACGGCGCTTCGTAGCTACGGCGGGTGTTTCAAAAGCAAGCGCTGTTTCAACTGTACCCTGCGTGGACGTATGCAGCGGCCGAGAGCGTCGTGGAAGTCGCGTGCACGTTTGTGCAGGTCTTTCTCTTCACCGTGACCACGTACTGGATGTGTGAGTTTTCGCCGGTCGGCCTCGGCGAGCGCTACGGGGTGTACTACGCCATCATTTTCCTCAACAGCGTGTCCGCCACTCAAGCATTCAAGTGCATCGCGGCATTCGCGCCGTCCGCCGTCTCGGGCTTGATCCTCGGTGCCGCCGTCTGCTTCGTGCTCATCATCTTTTCTGGGTTTGCCATCCCCGGCCCGTCCATCCCGACCTACTTTGTCTGGTTGTTCAACGTGAATCCCAGCAGCTGGGCGTTCTGGGCCATCATGATCAACGAGTACACGTCCGCCCTGCCTGCGTACGACGCGCCCCACCCCAAGTTGCCCATGCGGACCGGCGACTACTACGTCAAGCTGTACGGCGTGCCCGTCGACACGCAGTACGTGGGGTGGGCCATCACGTATCTCGGTGGGCTGTACGTGGGACTTGTGGGCCTCACTGCCATCGGGTACCGCTTTGTCCGGTACAGGAAGACGCATGCCTCGCCCGCTCCAACTGCAGTCGATCCATTGCGTTTACGGTCGATGACTGGGGCGAGTCCCAACGTGAAGGAGATTGTCGCGTCGGCGGCGTTTGCACCGGTCATGCTGACCGTTCGAGATGTACACTACAGCATTCCCGTACGATGCCGTTCCCGTCCCTGTGGTCCTGATGGGATTCTGCAGATGCCGAGGAAGAATCACCAGCCAGACAAGCGCGGGGCGACTGTCGACCTGCTCAGTGGCATCCACGGACAGTTTGCACCAGGGACGATGACGGCGCTGATGGGAACGAGCGGCGCGGGCAAGAGTACGCTGCTGGACGTGCTAGCCGGGAGGAAGAACTCCGGCAAAATCAAAGGTATGACGATGGCATCGACGTTGTGTGCTGAATGGATGGACAGGGTCGATGCACGTGAACGGGATGCCGTTGACGCGAGCAGTCCAAAAACAATTTGGCTACGTCGAGCAGTTTGATCTGCACTGCTTGACGGCCACCGTCGAGGAAGCGCTCGAGTTCAGCGCGCATTTGCGCCTGCCTGGTGCATCCGTCGACGACATCAAGGACGTCATCCAGTCTACGCTGGACACCCTTGAACTCCGACGCGACCGCGGCAAGCGCATCTCGATTTTGTCCAACGAACAGTCCAAACGAGTCACGATTGGCGTCGAGCTGGTGGCAAACCCATCGGTGCTGTTTCTGTACGCTTCACAGCGCCGAACGAGTACATGCCGCACGAGAGATTGATGTGTGAAGCTCTAGGGACGAGCCCACGAGCGGCCTTGACGTGCATGCGGCCAAGGTCGTCCTCGACGCTATCTACCGCATCGCCCGCTCGGGCCGTACGGTCATCTGCACAATCCACCAGCCGAGCTTTGCGCTGTTTGAGATGTTTGACGCGCTTGTGCTGCTTCGCACGGGGGGCAAAATGGTGTACGTCGGCCCGCTGAACGGCGGGAAGGCCATCGTGGAGTACTTGGAGCGGATTCCAGGCACGCGCAAGCTCCTCGATCGGGAAAACCCCGCCACGTACATGCTGGACGTGATGGCGGCAAACCCGTCGGTGGACTTTAGCTCCATCTACATGGCATCGAGTCTATGTGCAGCCAACGACGCGGCGATTTCAGCGGGATGTGATGGCTCCAAACGTGCGCAGCCGTCGGCAGGTGGACCAGCAACGTCCCGAACCAAAGCGACCAGCTATGGCACGCAGCTGTACTACCTCGGCCTCCGCACCGCGCGAAAGTATTGGCGCACGCGCGAATACAGCGTCGGCCGCGTCCTCATATCGATATTTGTCGCCATCATCTTTGGCGTGCTGTACGAGCACGACGATGGTCTCCACTTCACGTCGCAGCTCCAGTCGCAAGCGTCGCTCGTGTTTGTCGGGCCGCTTTTCATGGGCATCATCTCTGTAATTACAGGTGCTATGCACGTTCTCTGTGTATCGATGTGCAGCCGTGGCGATTGAGGTCGTCGGCAGCCACGAGTTTGAGCGCATGCATGCACTCGACTACTAACAACTACGACAGGTCTGCCGGTGGTCGATGCCGAGCGCATGGTGTTCTTCCGGGAGCGCGCGTCTGCGATGTATGCCACGTTCCCGTACGCGTTGGTGTTTGCGCTGGTCGAAGTGCCGTACGTGCTGGTCAACTCGCTCGTGTTTTGTGGCATTTTTTACCCCATGGTCGGCCTCAAGCCGGAAGCGGTCGCGTTCGGTTGGTTCTACGTATACTACGTCCTGTACAACTTGTTTGCCACGTACTTGGGCCAGTTCCTGGTCGCGATCTTGCCCGACTTGCGGACAGCAGTCGTCGCGACGGGCGGGCTCAACTCGCTCATTTCGTTGTTTGCGGGGTTTTTTATCCACAAGGCCAACATCCCGGTCGCATGGAGCTTCATGTATTGGCTGTCCCCGCTGCACTACACGCTCGAAGGCATGATGTGCACGCAGTACGCGGACAGGTGGGATTCCATCTTCGTCGGGTCGAAAGGGGCCATCTTGGCTCGGTCCAACACGACGATTGCCAACTTTGTCATGGACATGTTTGGCGGCGGGATATCCAGCGACAACAACGTCCCGAACGTTGCCATCCTCGTCGTGTGCATAGTCGTGATCAAGATCGGAGGTTTCCTCGCTATGCACTTTGTCTCGTTTGTGACGCGATAACATTTTTCTCGCAATCAAACCTGTGTTGTGTTCGGGATGGACGTACCTGGGCTGGTCCAGGGACTGCCGAGCTCGATCATGGAGCCGTGGCAAGTCCCAAGCCAGACGAGAACCATGATTTCCTCGCACAATGATCGAGCGCGGCATGGGCAGGCTACAGCGTGGGCCGTAAATGCACTTGTGTGCGCTGCTTCAAACCAGGACTTGCTCAAGGTTCGACCACGTCCTATGATGGCATGTAGGTGTCGATTTAGCTGAGCACGGCGAGTGTCGGCGCAGCGCGGTCGGAGTCTATCTTCTGTGGCACTTTCACCCGTGTCAAATGTCACAACTTGAAACCGTATCATCCGGTTATCCGGATACTTTACCAAATTCGATTTTTTGTCCATCGACAACGCCGTGCGACGGCGCGGCCGACACCAAAAGGACGATGGCCGACTCCGACGGCGAAATGTACGACTCATCGTCGCCGCGAAGCTCGCATTATGGTAAGCATCGCGCTCTTTGCGGCAGCATCCTGCAGTTTCGTGGCATCGATGCTGCGGTCTTATGTTTGTTTCGGTAGACGACTGGACAAAGGAACCACTTGTCGGGGAGAAGATGACTGTGTACTTGCTGCACTGGGACAAGGCAACGCAGAAGGAACCCGACATCTTCGACACGACGCTTATGAAACCCAAGGACCCCACAACTATCTTCCGTTGCGAGCCAGATTGCGTGATTCATTACCACAGTACAACTTTGACTCGAGCACAGTTTGAGCGTGAGTACGGCATGCCGCCGCGGTCTCGCGGCGACGAAATCTTGCGGCTGCGTCAAGCTATGCTTGAAAAGTACTTGACTGAAGTCGAGATGGACCGCAAGAAGTACATCCGCACACCACAGACCAACGTCGACCCAACTTGATTCCGTCTTGCTTTGTGTAGGCGGCGTGCACTCAACCAAAACGACCTGGACGAGGACCACAACGCAAGCGCCGTCGTGCCCGCGGCGCGGTGTATACCTGAGATGAGCCCGCTCGATCGCCTCAAATACGTGACGTCCTTGTGGCCGAGCAACATGCCCAACTTTCCTGACGCCGACGACAGCCTTCGGTACTACGGCTTTCAAGTGGGCATTTACATCGACGCGAACGACGAAAAGGCAGTAAAGGACAAGAACTCCACCACGTGTGGCGACAGCGCTAGCCCCGCTGACTCGAGCGACAAGAACGGCGCCGCTGACACCTCCCAAAACGACAGCGACAGTAGCAAGAGAGACGAATTGGCAGCTGAAGCGCAGCATTCGCCCAACCTTCCACCTGCCTTGCCTGTCAAGGAAGAGAATTGGGTGCAATGCGACAAGTGCCAAAAGTGGCGAAAACTCCCAGGTGCGTCAATGAGTCATCCCGAACACGACGGTTGTGACGGCACCCTTGTATCCTCACAGACTCGGTGGACGTATCCGCGCTCCCAACAACTTGGTACTGCCGCATGAACAAGTGGAGCCGCAAATACAACGTACGTGAATCCTTTTGACTCCCGGAGCGTCGGCCGACCGACTGATGCCGACCCGGTTAGAAATGCTCGGCCATCGAAGAAACGACTGCGGCGCCTTCCGTCGCGCTCCTCGAGTCGGACCTGCAATTGATCCGCGAGCGCAAGTTTGTACATCAATTCGGCCAGCGGCTCAAACGCATGGAGAAGGCGCTGGCCGAACTCAAGTACATTGACATGAAGGAGGACTCGGGCACGCGGAAGTATGTCGTGTGCGAGGAGTGCGGGAAGAAGCGACCGTTGTTGGGCGGCATGGACCCGGAAAGAGTCCCCAAGGTGATGACGCAATTTCTCTATTGTCCAAGGCTCATGCACGATATTCGGTAGCCATTTGTGTGCTGGATGAACCGGTGGGACGAGATTCATGCGAGCTGCTCGGCGCCGCAAGGCATTCTCTTTGACAGAGTCACGGCCGAGTCGATGACATGCACGGCATCAACTGGTTCGACCATGGCGGCACCGGCGGCTGGACCGGATAAAAAACAGTCGAAGCAAGGTAAAAAGCAAGGGGCCAAGCACGCCAACCGCGCCAAAGCAAAGAAGAAGGCGGTTCCGATAGACGAAGGCACCAAGGAGTCCCCGCCGCCGCCGCCGCCACTTTATTCTTCGTCCGATGAAGATGGGTCGACGCGGAAGAAGCCTCGCCGGGACGACTCGTCCAAGAAAAAATAGCACCACTCGTTGCTGTAACACGCTGAGCAATATCACAACCACACGCCGCCGCATACCCGTCGAGCGTCGTTGGTTGGACGACGACGATCGGTGCACACAACGGACATCATCCCACCCAGCAGAGTAAAAATGGATGGCCACGACGCGTCGATTCCAACTCGCGTTGTTAAGGTCGATGATGGAATCGTCTACAAGATGTACTTGGTCAAGTCGGTCTGCTTGAGGACGTCCTTGAGATGCGCTTGGACGTAGGTTTTGTCGATCGTGACTTTCGTGCCGCGCAGGGACGGCGCGTGGAATGACATGTGCTCTGTGATCTTGCTCACAACAGTCGCGAGGCGACGCGCGCCAATGTTGTCTGTCTGGGCATTGACTTTCGCCGACACGTGCGCGATCTGTTGGACGGCGTCCTGCGTAAACGTGACCTCTACTTGCTCCGTGTGCATGAGCGCGCGGACTTGGTCGAGCAGGTTGAACTGGGCCAAGGCTGGTTACGATCGGGTTGCCACCACTCCATTGTACCTGGGTCTCCGTGAGGATGCGCTCAAAGTCGTGCTCGGTCAATGGCGACAGGTTGACGCGGATCGGCAGGCGTCCTTGGAGTTCTGGCATCAAATCGGATGGACTCACGTTGTGAAAAGCTCCTAAAAAGCCGTCGTCAGCCACACACTGGCGAGCCATCGACGTACCGCTCGCGATAAACAGAATGTGGTCCGTGTACACGATGCCATGGCTACAATGTCCACGTGAAATCTCCGGCCGAGACTGTTCCAAGGCGTTTCGTACCGCGTCGTTACGGCGCAGCCTTCAGTCAGCGCGAGCAACTCCTTTTGGACGCCTTCGCCCTTGCGGAAGCTGCTGTGGTGGCTGTGCCGGTCGTGGGCGAGTTTGTCGATCTCATCGAGGAAGATGATCCCGTTTGTCTGGACGTTTTCAATCGCGCGGCGGACGATGTCGTCTTCGACCACAAAATTCGCTGCTTCTTCCGCTTGGAGGCGCGGAAGCGCTTCCTTCACAGTCATCTGGGTGCCTCCCGATCCTTTCGACGAACAGGTTTTGCTGCCATTCAGTCGGCCCAGCATCTCGGACATTTGCCGCATCGCTTGATCGAGCTCTGGCGGGATTTCCATCTACAAAGGATTGGAGCATGGACGAACAGGACCGCTTCTGCTTACGTCGGACATCGAGCGAGATTTTAGTGGGCTCTGCACGGGCTTTAACTTGATCGTGACGATCTTGTCGTCGGCAGCGCCTGACGCAATGTCTTCGCGAAGTCGGCGACGCAGCGCCTCGGACACGAGCTCTGTGCGCGCGGTCAATGCAGCAACCAGGCGGTCGATAGCGCGTTCTCGGGCGGCGTTCGCGTTCGTCTTTTGGACAGCGGCTCGTTCCATTTCGACAGCGACTTCGACGAGATCTTTCACCATCGATTCCGCGTTCGCACCAAACACACCGATTTCAGTGAACTTAGTCGCTTCAACCTTGATGAACGGCGACGCCGTCAACGTCGCCAGGCGGCGGGCAATCTCCGTTTTGCCCGACCCAGTCGGTCCGCTCATGAGGATGTTCATGGGCGAGATTTCAGCACGGATCGGTCCTTCAATTTGGCGTCGGCGCCATCGATTGCGCAACGCCACAGCCACGGCCTTCTTGGCGTCCGTCTGCCCAATGATGTGCTGGTCGAGTTGGTACACCACTTGCTCCGGGGTCAACTCAATCGACGAAGGATCGGCAGAAGCAGCGCCGACAAGAGCATCCTCACTAACGATGGTGAAACCTGACATAGCACGGCACGATGCACGTGGCACACGGCCGTGGCAGCCCAGCGCGGCGCTGCGACGAAGTCGACCGAACATCGGTAAAATGGTGGCCGTACTGGGATTCAAACCATTCCAACTTGTGATTGGCTGAATTAAATGACCGATCATTGGCTCATTTATAACCAATGAAACGACTCTATTTCATTGTACCCGCCAGCGCACCTGAAGCCGCGCCGCCGACGCCAACACCGCCGATTCCACGATGAATGAGGCCAAGCAGAAGCTGCTTCAGATCCTTTTGGTGAGGGAAAACGTTGAAAAATGATGGATATCTGTTGATACTCGTGCCTACACAGGCAAATGGGGCGGTGATGGACACAGAGTTCAAGGTGGCATGCGACGAGTTATTCGATCGCGGTTGGAGGGGGTGATGCCATCCTGTCCTGACCTATTGTGGTAGATTTTTCCATGGACGACGTCGACGAACTCCGTGAATCCATGTCGAAGGAGCTTCGAGTGTATTCGTTGGACATCAAGCAAGCCATGCACGACAACGGCCACGTGTACGTGGGGGTTGTGAACACGGTACTCTGTTCTATCGCGTTCTCGGTATCGCACTAGCCAACGGGATCGATCTGCGTAGAGCAACGACGGTGTATCGACGTTGAGCAACAATTTCAAGCCCTGGTGGGTACACGTCATCCAGTTCGATGTGCCACATGCGGTTCTTGAAGGGAAATCGTGTTCTTTCGGAAGGCGATCGTGCATATCGTTGAAAAGTAGGTGTCCATGGGCCTAGTCACGTGGATGATCTCAATGCGTGCCCTACTCTTAGTGAGGATGGAGAGATCGACCGCATGGAGCTCATGAATTTGCGCGACGGAGCGAATAAGGTGTCCGACGTCCGGGCGTTGGTCGACCAGTTGCTCGAGCAAAAGTGGCTCGGCATCAGCATATTCAACGACGACCAGATCACGCTTGGGATTCGAGCGTTCCTCGAGCTCAGTGTGTTCATTCGAGAGCTGGGGGTGCTGGAATGCATGATTTGTCACTCGGATGTGCTACAGGTATGCCCGAAATGATGTCGTGGCTGGTGTTGCTCTTACGTTGGAGACGCAGAGTGTGCGGTGCAAGACGTCCAACTGCGCCACACGTGTCCACGAAACCTGTCTCCAGGAACATCAGAAGTCCGGCCGGCCTTACCACTGCGCGCCGTGCCGCAAGCCGCTGCGGTGAGCGGCCGTGGATTTGGCGGGTGGGACTGAGTGATCCGGTCAAGTGCGTTATTTTTAATTCGTCATTCCCGATAGAAACCCTACCTTGAATTTGATTTCCATCATTTAAAATATGCCAAGCATCTATTCTATTAAAATTATCCACGGCGCCCAGCATATTCGGTCACTTGCCGTTTTTCCCTCCAAAAACGTGGCCGAGATGTCCAAGGGATCTGCAGCGGCGCACGCCGACGAGCATGGAAGCGACGTCGAAGAAACAGCACAGGAGCGTGTGATTGCAGAAGAGTACAAGATCTGGAAGAAGAACACGCCGTTCCTGTACGACCTCGTCATGACGCACGCACTGGACTGGCCGTCGTTGACTGTGCAGTGGTTGCCGACGGTGCACACGAGCAACGGCAACGACTACTCGAGCCACAAACTGCTTCTTGGAACACACACGGACGGTGAGTCGCAAAACTACTTGATGGTGGCGGAAGTCCGTTTGCCGTTGGAAGACACCGAGATCGACGCGCGCAACTACGACGACGACACGTCCGAATTGGGCGGGTTTGGTGGCGCGTCCGGGAAAGTCGAAGTTCAAATCAAGATTAACCATGACGGCGAAGTAAATCGTGCGCGGTACATGCCCCAGAACGACCTGATTGTCGCGACCAAGACGGTGTCGTCGGAGGTGTACATTTTCGACATCTCCAAGCACCCGTCGACACCGGCCGACGGATCGGGCTGCAATCCCGACTTTCGATGCGTCGGGCACACGAAAGAAGGGTACGGATTGTGCTGGGACCCGCACCAGTCGCACCACTTGATCAGCGGGTCCGACGACGGCGTTGTGTGCGAATGGGACGTTGCGCACGCTAGCAAGGTCGTGAAGCCGTTGAACAAGTACGCGGGCCACACGGACGTGATTGGGGACGTGGCATGGCACATGCACCACCAAAAGTTGTTTGGGTCTGTCGGCGACGACAAGAAGCTCTTGATGTACGTCCATCGAGGATGCATATCTCGTCGCCTCATCATGTGTGCCGCAGTTGGGACATGCGCGTCAAGAGCTACGACAAACCGTTGACGTCCGTGAACGCCCACGACGCGCCCGTCAACAGCTTGGCGTTCAGTCCATTCAGCGAGTACTTGCTCGCGACGGGCTCTTCCGACAAGGTACGGCTGGCTTGGTCATCGTGCATCATGACAGCGCGGCCGTAGACGGTGAATCTGTGGGACATGCGAAACCTGAGCTCCAAGCTCCACACGTTTGCCGGCCACAGCGAAGACGTGCACCAAGTCGAGTGGTCCCCACACAACGAGACGATCTTGGGGTCGTGTTCGCAGGACCGTCGGCTGCACGTGTGGGACTTGAGCAAGATCGGCGAGGAGCAGAGCGCCGAGGACGCCGAGGATGGGCCACCCGAGTTGTTGGTACGTCGCCAAGATCCTCGTGCGAGTCCAACGCGTCGTTCGTGTGCGTAGTTTATTCACGGAGGCCACACCGCCAAGGTGTCGGAGTTTTCGTGGAACCCGAACGATCCATGGGTCGTCGCGTCCGTATCGGAAGACAACATCTTGCAGATCTGGCAAATGGCCGAGAACATTTACAACGAGGAGGAAGAAGAGGACGTCGCAGACGACGCACTCGAATAGAAACACACCCACTCACGTTGCACAATGTCATGTACATGATCCTCACGTCCGACGACGACGGACGGCGGCGCGAGCAGCCAACGGAACCGCAAGAAGACGTCCTTGTAGCAGAGCTCCAGCAGCTCGTGTAGAACGATGCCACTTCGCAACAATACACCCAGACGCAGAGGTCTACCGCGTAGAGCACGCGAAAGACGTCCGTCCAAGCTGGCTCCACGTAACACGACGCGCAGCCCTCTCTCCATGCCACGTGGGAGCTGTTGAGAGGGACCACGATGTCACCGCGGCTCCCTCGACAGTGCTGGGTCTCTTTGCACCTCCAGCCGGCAGATTGCAGTTCCTTCCATCCTTTCACGCGGCTTCCATCCGCCGCCGCGTAGACTATCATTCTCGACACATTCATTCTGCCTCCGCCATGGCGTTGTTCGTGCCAGTGTGTGCCGAGGCGGACCTGCCCAACGAGTCGCGGCGCTGCGTGCTTCTTCCGTCGACTGGGCGGAGCGTGCTTCTTGTGCACCACCGTCACGTGATCTACTGCATCGATCAAGCATGCTACCACCACGGTGGACCGCTTGGAAGCGGAGACATCGAAGATCTCGACGGTGTCGTCGCGATTCAGTGCCCTTGGCACAACTACAAGATCGCATTGCACAATGGCGAAGGGCTGTACATGGGCTTTGAACCGGGCAACATGAGTCAACCTGTGCTCAAGAGCAAGGGAGTGAAACAAAGGACCCATCCCGTCAAAGTCGAACGTGGCATGATCCTCGTGTGCGACAGTTCGGTCGACACCGGCACCGCGATCGCGAGCGACGTGTACGCGTTCGACACCAAGTGCGTCCCGGACTTGAACAGGAAGAAGGACCGTGATGAAGTCCGCCTCCACTCTCGGATGACGTAGAAATGCTCCATGTCCCCGACGGCGTCACCCTCGTCACCGTTCATCATACATCACTGCACATCTCTACCTCGAATAAATAATCATTAAAAAAACTAAATAAATAATCCCATTTTTACATCCATCACGAGTCGACGTTGACGTCCCAGACGCGGACGGCGCCATCCCACGACGCCGAGAGCAAGTTGGGGTCTTGGAACCCGACTCCCGTGATGCCGCTCATGTGCCCGGCCAGGAGTTGGCCGCACACGCCGGTATGCATATTCCACACGCGCAACGTGCCATCTTCGCTGCTCGAGATCACCTTGGTGAAGTCGCGTTGCAGCGTCGTGATGCGGCCCCCGTGGCCACTCAACTCGAGCCGCGCCCCTTTCCCCGTCGCGCGGAGGTCCCACACCTTGACGACACCGTCCGCAGACCCCGAACAAATGGTCGGGTCGGCCGGCCCGCCCAGCGCGACGCACGTGACGGGGCCGCTGTGGCCCATCAGGACGTGGGTGCAACTCTGGCCACTTCGAAAGTTCACATCCCACACCTTCAAACTGCGGTCACTGGATGCGCTCACGAGCCGGTCGCCAGCGATTTGAAGCTCCTTGATGCCGCAACGATGGGCGGTGAAGTGGCCCTTTTTCCGACCGGTATGGACATCCCACACGTCCAAGCCAGCGCCGGCGTCGCCGCTGACGAGCCCGGACGACGTCGCGATGAACTTTAAGCACGTGACAGCGCTCGAGTGCACCATGTGCATCACACTCGTCTCTTTGACCGAGTCCCAGATGCGAATGCACTTGTCCCACGACCCCGTTGCGAGGAGGACCCGATCGACCGCAAGCTGCTTGCCCAGCTCGAGCGCTACGATCGGCGCCGTGTGCCCGCGAAGGACGCGGCACGTGTCCACGTCCGTTGCCAGGAAGCGCAGAAATGGCTTGGATCGTCGCGGGGACAGCGACGTCGAGTTTTGCGCGTGCAGGTTCCACACGCGGACGGTGGCGTCGTACGACGTCGAAATGAGCGCATGGCCACGGAATTGGACTTGGGTGACGGGCGCGAGATGGCCGTCCAACGTGGTCAAGGTATCATGCGCGTACAGGTGCATGGACCCGTTGAGACATCCCGCCGCAACATGTTCGCCGTGGACGGCAAGGCATGCGATCGGAGACGGCGCCGCGATCAAAATGTTGGCCGCCGAGTCGGACGAGCTCGACACGTCCGACACATTGGACAGTTTGCGGCGAATCACCGTGTCCAGGTCGTATGCGGTCACGGACGTGGGGACAACGCCGACGTTCGGGGTGGCAAATGCCCATCCTGGAGGATGACGCGGCGACGATAACGACGAGCCCCCGGGCGACATCTCCATGGACAGGACGAGCGCGCGGTGGAGATTCTCGACGAGTTGCGCCAGCGTGTCCTGGAGTTCCTTTCCTTTGGAGTACGTGCTGCACATTGCCGACACGAACGTGTGGACCTTGCCAACTGGGACGTCCACGTTGAGCATGTCGTAGACGAGGGATCCCATGTGCGAAAAGAACAAGTCGTCGCTTACGACGTCGGCATCGTCCGACTTCATGGCGGCTTCCATGTCGCGGCTACAACAACGGGGTTACGTGCTTGCCCACAACAACAAAACAAACCTAAAAGCGTGGTGCCACATGTCGAGAGATCGACAGATCGGCTGGGATTTGAGCGACTGCTGCAAGTACTCTCGCGCGCCTGGAACGTGCGTAAGGACAGCACAAACGGATGACCGGCGAGGTACCTCCAAAGCGTTGCTGCTTGGGGTTTGCGACCTCGACGACCCGGTAAAATTGCGCTGACACTTGGAGCAGCCCGCGCGCGTTGGCAAAGTCTTCGTGGATGTCGCACTGCTCGAGCATGACCGACGCCAAGTGCACGAGCAATCGAAACCCCACGTCACCGAGGCAGCTTCCCGACCCTCGCGGGATGTACGTGTCGGAAGATTGAGACCGATGGTGCGGTTGCATGAGGATCAGCACAAACAGCTCGCGCGCGTACTGTGCCTTGAAACTGGCTTCGCACGCCTACGTGCAACTCGTGGAATCCAGACGGAAACCATCGCTAGCTACAACCAACCTGGCGCACGCCGTCCACCAGCGTGTCGTCGGACGAGAAGATGCCAACCAAACATTTGTGCATGCTCTGCTCAACCTTCTCTTCCTCTGTCGATAGCTGGCGATGCAACGTATTTGACAGCCCGTCGTGACCGCCGCCAGTCGTCCGATACACGGCGTTCTCGAGCGCAGTCTTGTCGAGCCCGACCGTCGCGGCCACATCTTCCAGTGTCCATACACGCGGGTTCGGCAGCGCCATGTCATCTTTGCTCGTCGACGTGTGGACCGTGAGAGGAAGCAATTGAATGGCTCGAGCCATGGCATCCAACGATCCCGGCGCAGTCGTCGGCTGGTCCATCGACACGGTCAGTACTTTGTTCGGACACGCGTACAATTCGCCGCAGTCGGTGACGTGGCGCGTTTTGAGCCACAGCGACCCCTGCGCTTTGCAGACCAGCGTGTATATCGCGTGGAATGCATGCATGTGGCTCGAGCTGTGGGTCTCCAGAAAGGTTTCAAACGTCTACAAGCACGTGTCCATCGAGGCAAGTGCATCATTCGCCATGGACGCCACACACGCGTACCTGAGTCACCAAGAACTTGGTCATGAACGGAATCATGTCGGCGGCCACGTAGGTCGCTAGGAACCGCCGCTGGTTGAACACGGGAAAGCTCGAGTTGACGAAAAAAAGACAGTCGCGGTAGCTAACACCACATCGCTTGCCGTGAAATCCATTCACATGGCGATTCCAACGCACCCTGTCAGCATCGTCGTGAGGTACGTGACGAATGCCAGCCGAATGTTGTGTTCGATGACGGGACTCCACGGTTCTTGCATAAAGCGCTTGAGCCGGGCATGGAGGTCGCGGGTCAAGGCGAGGGGAAGCGATGGAATCCCTGCGTCGGTAGTCGTTGTGGACAGCGTGATGGTGCCTCGGTCGGCATCGACAAGGACGAGGTGCTCGGGTTTCCCGGCTTCAAATAAACTCGAAAGCCACGCGCTGTGCACACCGAGAATGTACGGGAGCGGCGCTTGGACGTATTCGGACAGGATGCGCGGCAGCATGGGCACGTACGGATGGGGCCATCGAAACGGGTACATGAGGGCTTTGATGGTTTCCGTGATGGGGCACAGGAGGGAGAGTTGCGTCGAGTGGACAACGATGCGGTATTCACACAGCGCGAGCACGACCGCTTTGACAGCCACGGCTACAGGAAAACACTTGAAAAACACGTGCATCGAGTACGGGAGCGGTGGGAGCAGGATCGACGTCGGTTCAGTGCGCGCGCCGTCGTCGTCACGATGCGATTTTGCCAACGACGGCAGCGCGGCATATTCGGGGAACGGCGCGGCGTGCGCATGCCGAGGGAGCGACAGCCGCCATGTACACCGTGCCAGTGTAATGGACACGTCGAGGATGTCTCGAACGGGACGCGGCACGACCATGGCGAGCTCATAAAAGTAAGTTTCGGCCAGCGCGGCGTTGTCCAGGTATTGCCACATGAGCGCGATGGCGGCGTCTTGCATAAACTCGAGCATGGGGACCCGCGACAAGATGCACAGACAGATTGGATGCCAACGAGTTTGCAACGAGCCTGCTGACTCCTGGACGGGCTCGAAGACGAGGATGCACGAGCCATAACACTTGGACAAACCATCGGCGCCCCCGGACAGGACAAAGGTAAAGTGCTTGGATATGGGGCGACTTGCACTGGTCGTGACTTCGTACCCTCCGGGAAAGCAGAACCATTCGATCTTTGTGGGCAAGGGGAATTCCGTTCGGTCGTCTTGGGGATAACGCCTTAAGATGATATTGTCTTGACCGGGGGTACGCACGTCATGGCTCGAAGAAGGTTTGGACGAATGTGGGAGAACTGACGAGGGACCGACCAGCAAAACGTAGTCGATCAAGGCGGTAGGAAGGCAGAGATCCGTCGCCGAGTCGTCGTCAATGTCTTCATCCACGTGGGTTGCTGGGTCGGAAGAAGGGTGCCCGATGAAGCTTGGGTGCCGCTGGTGGTGATGCATCGGGCTCGATGGAGCGATCGCCATCGACGTGAACTTGACGCAGACGCGGATCGCTGCCCGGGTGAACGTTTGGGACGTCGTGTTGCCTGTGAACGAATACCATTGCTCGATCTCTTGGTTGTCGGGGAGACGTGAGAGCGGAATCGTCACTACGTTGGATGTCGGCGCGGAATTCTGGCTTGGAATGACAGGTACCTTTGCCGATGCAGCATGGGTGGTGTGCCATGTCGACGAACAAGTCGAAGTATGGAGGATTTTGCATTCGGTCAATGCCATACAGCGTCAGCACTTCATCCGAGCACACCGTATCGACCATAAACTCCTGTGGATGGAACTGTAGGTGCAGCATGACGACGCAATGACACTACCTCGTTCCACGAATCTTGAGATGCCAGGATGCATTCTGTCGAGTACATGTGCTGAGGCTCGCCTGTGAGATGCACCACAACACACATGGCAGCCGCAGTGGACGTCATTTTCGTATCGAGGGTCGACTTGCGCCCAGTGAGGGAGCTCCGTCGAAGTGCTCTCACCCAACCTGACGTTGCCGTGGACGACGTTGTGCCATGTGCAGGATCAAGCTTTGCCAGGGGCAAGTCCGATCCCTCAATGACTAGTGTGACACTGCAGTCAAGATGATGCGTCATCGGAAGATTGCCGTACTTCGAATCGTTAGCCGGCCATAGGTTGACGTCGGCTGCGTAGGAAGCGTTGGTTGCTTTGCGAGCGACGGGGACGATATGACCCTAGGAGCTTCAGTATTTCCGTCGACGACCAGCTCCGTGGCAGGTGACACACGCGATGTTGTCTTGGGGTCCCCTGCATTGTCGCTGCGCATGAAGATGGACCTCACCTTGGACATGAACGTCGTCACAAGAAACGATCTGCGCAATTTATTTAATAATCCTCGAAAATACATACAAACGGCAAGGTAATTTTAAAAAATTCCCATGCCGATTCATTCAGGCGTTTCAACGAGCTGGGCACTTTGGACGTGTGAAGGACAAACTGCACCGTCTTCCACGGCACCATCCAGTACTTCATGGCGCTAACACTGCACCAGTATTGTTCGTTCCATTTGGATTCCTTGTAGTTGCCCGCGAACGTGGGCATGCATATATATACTGTGTTGCTAAAGACACGACACATCGTCATATTGGACTGCGAAAATTGAGACGTATTTTATACTTCGAAGTACGTACTACTTCTTGTGCAGTAGTATGTCCTCTTACTACTAGTAGTACTATTATTTCCCTAATTTCAAACACCAAGGTGTCCGAAATTTATCCGGAGACTTTCACCAAGAATTTGACGCCACCACGATGACGGATCCGAACTGCGCCGATCCTGTATGCCACTCCAAGACGGAGATGTTTCGATCGGGAGTGCTTGGCAAAACGAAGGTCAAGAAGGAAGGTGTCGCGTCTACGAACTCGTCGTCAGCTCGTGCGGAGTGTCCACTCGACCGCGAAGAGCTCGGGCGTGCGACGTGGGGACTGGTACTGTTACGTCTCTCGCATTATGAGGACACGCCTGATGTTGTTGGTCGAAGTAGCTACATACAATGGCTGCGTACTACCCACAGGTGCCTTCTGACGCAGTCAAGTCGCAGGCAACATCATTTATCAAGTCATTGGCTGAACTGTACCCTTGCAAGCACTGCGCGGTGGACTTTCAGGAGTCGATCGTTGAGATTCCACCTCGGTACATTATCCACCATGTCGATGCCCGCCTTACGCTTTCTCGATCAGGGTGAACTCGCGCATTGACTTTTCTTTGTGGATGTGCGAACAGCACAATCGAGTGACGACCAAGATGCACAAGAAGCCATTCCCTTGCACAATCGAGGCTCTCGACAAACGATGGAAAACAGGCGTCGCGTCCTGCTGGACGAAACGAGAGGACGAAGCGACAGCTCAAGAGTCCCTCGGCCAGGACGACGAGTAGGCACGTGAAGGCATTGCACCGTAGATGATCACACGACAAACGCATTGCAGAGCATGACGGGCGACATCATGGAACTTCCGCAGCACCAGTTAACTGAACAAAGTGGCGCACGCTATAGCTTCGACAAGCTTCTCCTCGGACTGAACTGTGCAACCTGCCCGTTGGTTGTACATGCACAGATTCCAATGATCAGGTCGTTGCCCACTCGCGCGGCGCCCATGGGCCTTGCCAACCCTGCACAGTCATGTAGCACTGGCTATGTTGTGTTGGAGAGAGTGCTGATGAGCGGCTGGAGCCACGTTGTCGAAACGTCAGCGACGCGACATGGCGACGACAACTGCTGGCATGGCTGCCAAATTGCGTGGAATGACGTGCTAGCAGTCCGAGGTCCCTCGACACAATCGAATAGTTTATGCCCACATCTACGCTTCCGCGATCGATCGAAAGAGAGTTTCTATCTGCTTTACTGAATGGTACACCATCGCGAGGGCGGAGCATCGTCGCCTGCGCTGCTCGCTGTCTCACTGTCGTCCAGTGCTTTCGATCCGTGTTTCTTCAAGTATTCTGCAAAGGGCGAGATCACGAGCTTGTCGTCCGCTGGTTTTGGCAAGTCGCCTTCCAACGGCTCGGATAAAAACACGTAGGTTTCCTTGTCTTCGCGAATAACGCGGTTGACTCGCGACTGCGCGAAGAGGTCGTCTGGGCGGGACTCCTTCAGGGCGGTCGCATCCCCAGACAGCACGTACACGTGGCGGCGATCGAGCTCCTGCTCCACGTCGCCAATGTCCAAGTAGGACGGCCGGTCCACGGCCATCAAGTTGATGCGGTTCTCGTATAACGTGAGATGGCGAAAGTCGGTGCGCAGGTCCAGCGGCAGCTCCTTTGACCACCCGTTAGCCGACAGCGACGTGAAGCCGAGCTGGACGATGGCGGTCATGAGAGCGTCAAAGCCAGCTTCATGACACGGCATGGGTGCTTCGCCATCGACGGGCTTCTTCAATGCTCGATGGTACGACGACGACTCGTCCGCGTTTATGAGCGTCGACACGTCAATTGTCAGGTGGTCGCGCATGTATTCGAACATGGCCGACAGCGACGTCGACTCGAATTCGTCGCGGGCTGGAGACATCATTGCCTGGTGCTTGGTGTCAAAAATTACCGGGAACGCCTTGCCGAGCTGCAGCTTGAACTGGACAAGCGTGGGCGGCAACGGGCCGACAAACTGGTGGAAGAGGTACACAAAGTCCAAGAGGCAGTTGTGGCCCACGACGGGCTTGCCGGACTTGCCAAGCAGCTGGATCACTTTGGAAAACCCGATCGCAGCTTCTACTTCATTGTTCAACTCGTCGATTTTTCGCTTCTTGAGCGAGTCGTGTTCGGACGACGACGTCGTGCGAATGAGGCGCACGCCGTTTTCGTTCGTTTCCAAGTACAACGACTTGGCGTCGGGATGGGTGGCAAGGAACCGCGCAGCATGCAGGACAAGGAGTCGGCGGAACGAGTTGCGCGCAGAAATAAAGAGTTCTGGCATCGCCGCGTCCGAGTTTGCCAGCCACGTGTCAATGCGCTCAACCGACTCTGTCATGAAGAGCTATTGGAAGCAACATCAAAAACGCTGCAAGCAAACGGCGTTGTTTGACGTACCTTGTCGAAGTGGCGGCTAACGTTAATTTTTTCTGGCGGCGACTTGCCGAGATTGGCGATCGACTTCTCGTGGATACGGCGCACGGCCATCTCAGACTTGCGAGACAAGTACGGAATGCCATCGCGAATGAACTTGTTAAAGTCAAAACCATGTTCGGCCATGAACTGCATCGACGACGCTTGGCAGAGGAACCGGGCGTCGAAGTTCTGGTACGGACGCGGAAAGACGAAAAAGTTCCAGCACGAGATCCACGTGTTGGACGCTTCATCCATTTCCGCGGAGCCGTCGGCGACATGCACAAGGGCGACACCGAATTGTGTGATGAGGAAGTTCTCGCCAGACGCACGCACTTTGGCGTATCGTTCTTCTAGCGTGTCGATGATCTTCTCGCGGGTGAATTCGGACGGTGCCAGGCCCGTGAATTCTGTATCGATCGCGACAAATCGACACGATGGCAAAGCAAGCTGCTTTTCAAGGTCCACCAAAGCTTCGGCAAAGTTGTGGCGTGTTACGTCCATGGTTGTGAGGGACGTGAGTCGAAGCGGCGGGCGACAAGGAGGTGTCGATGGCACGGATAAAGATGCGTCGTCTGTGAAGCAACGTCGAGGAAGAGCGAACAAGAACTTGGATCTCGTGAGGTTGCGCGACCGCCAAACCAGCATATGCAAGCAGAGCAGCGGCAATGGATGCACAATGTGCTGCTCTGGCAAAGCCGTTTGGAATCGATGTCGGCGTCACCGATCAACCAATAATGCTGCGTTTTGATAGGACACATTTTGTACGGATTAGCCAATCATATGTCATTCCCTCACTACTATCAACCAATCAACCGGCCTGGTTGACCGATGCCAAGTTAACAACCCAAGCTGCTTGGTGGTGTTGAGCCATGCTGAGCGGGACGGCGGCAGTCCATGACAAGCTGTTACAATGAACTCCACTCAGCAGAGAGTCAATCGATGGGGCGGAATTGAGGAATAGGTCGACCTGTTCCACAACAAAGGCCACGTCATGAACCTCTGGAGAGAATGTCACTCGAGAATTTAGCTCAAGTCGCTCTACCTCGTGCATCAACTCAATTAAGGCACAGATTTGACTGAAAATGAACAGCCTGCAATACGCCGTAGACAAATCTGTATATTACTTAGGTCCAATGCAAATGCACACTGGGCCACGTTGGCACGAGCGCACCGGAGAAGTGAACACAATCTTCAAAATCACCGTTTCTTTGACAAAACGGGTCGCAGATCTGAAACATTACACCGTTTACTTCTTCTTGCCGGCAGCGGCCTTGCCCTTGCCACCAGCTTCCTTCTTCGTGACGGAGTGGATGACACCGACAGCCACGGTTTGACGCATGTCACGCACGGCGAAACGGCCAAGAGGAGGGTACTCTTGGAAGGATTCGACAGTCATGCCCTTCGTGGGTTCCAAGATGACCATGCAGGCATCACCAGACTTGACGAACTTGGGGTTTTCTTCAAGCACCTTACCCGAACGACGGTCCATCTTTTGGGTGATTTCCTTGAACTTGCACGCAACGTGGGCAGTGTGGCAATCCAACACGGGCGAGTACCCGTTGCCAATTTGGCCGGGGTGGTTCAACACAATCACTTGGGCAGTGAAGTTTTCCGTGCCCTTGGCGGGGTCCGTCTTCGAGTCGGACGCGACGTAACCACGTCGCAAGTCCTTCACGGCAACGTTCTTGACGTTGAACCCGACGTTGTCACCGGGGACGGCTTCAGGCAAGGATTCGTGGTGCATTTCCACAGACTTCACTTCCGTCGACAGACCCGAGGGACCGAAGGTCACGACCATACCAGGCTTCAACACACCGGTTTCAACGCGGCCGACCGGGACCGTGCCAATACCGCCGATCTTGTACACATCTTGCAAAGGCAGACGGAGAGGCTTGTCGGTAGGGCGCTTGGGGGGGTTCAAGCCGTCGAGAGCTTCCAAGAGGTAAGGTCCCTTGTACCAAGGCATGTTGGGCGACTTTTCAATCATGTTGTCACCTTCCCAGCCGGAGATAGGAACGAAGGGGATCTTGGCGGGCTTGTAGCCGACCTTCTTCAGGTAGTTCGTGACTTCTTCCTTGATTTCGTTGTAACGACCTTCGCCGTACATGACCGACGAGTCATCCATCTTGTTGATGGCGACAATCATTTGGCGCACACCCAAGGTGAAGGCCAACAAGGCGTGTTCACGAGTTTGGCCTTCCTTGGAGATACCGGCTTCGAATTCACCGACACCCGAGGCAACAACCAAAATGGCGGCATCGGCTTGCGAGGTACCCGTAATCATGTTCTTGATGAAATCACGATGGCCAGGGGCATCAATGACCGTGAAGAAGAACTTGGGGGATTCGAACTTCCACAAGGCGATATCGATCGTGATACCACGTTCACGTTCGGCCTTCAAGTTGTCCAACACCCAGGCGTACTTGAACGAGGTCTTGCCGAGTTCAGCAGCTTCCTTCTCGAACTTTTCGATGGTACGCTTGTCGATACCACCGCACTTGTAGATCAAGTGACCGGTCGTGGTGGACTTACCGGCATCGACGTGACCGATGACGACCAAAGAGATGTGGGTCTTTTCCTTGGGCATGTTGAATTCCTAAGCGCACTCCCATCAGCCTCGGTCCGATCTGCAGCCACCTCGTGGTGCCAACGGACGCACCTTTTGATCTGCAACGAAAAATTGAGAATGAAGTCGTGGGCCAAAGTCCGCGGGAATAACAATACAAATTCCAAGTCAAACCTCCTTGCGACCAAGACCGCATATTGAGTGGCTTGCATTCTCCTCCACTTCTTTTACCCCCACCCCTCCCCATTTCCACCAATCGCATACCTTTTATTCCACGAATTTAGAACTACCAATCGCGTCGTTTATGTCGGGTCAATGAATCCAAACACGAACACAACCGATATGTTGGTTTTTGTATGAAAATTCGTAGGAGGGGCAGCGTTTTCTATAAACGAGGTGGGCTGAAAGGTGTTAGGACACCACCCCACGTGGGGGGGCCCCATCATTTTGGGAGTTGACCATCATTCGATCATGAAACCGACTTTGTAACCGATTCTGGATGATAAATAACCACCAGACATTGCTTGGACGCTTTGGTCCACCGACTCGACAACTCACATTGCTTTTACCGTCGAGGCGATGGCGCAGCCGCATCAATTGTAGCAAGGCAGCAGCGTTCAAGGAGGAGGATGGTGTGGTTGTGAAGGCGGTAGTGTTTGGGATTTTACCATTCATGGAGGGACCAAAGCGTTGGCCGCGTCATGGTAGAGCCTTCCATTGCCAAACTACAACCTGCATTTCGGAAGGGGACGCCTGCAGCTTCCACGTCGAAGTGTAACAGATGCACTGAGTGGAGGGCCTTGTAGTAGTCTCCAAGGAGGAAAGTTTCCTTGCCTTCCAGATGAAGAGCAACTGCACAGTCAGTGGAATGGTCATGTTGCTACGACGAGACGTGTGCATGTACTGGTGATCGTGAACGCAATATCCTCACACCATACTTGATATTTTGCACTGATATGGATAGGCATCGTCGGGTAACGAGTTTCGCGAACGTGGTCACCACATAGGAGAATTCAATGGAAGCACACGAATGGTTCCCATGAGAGCAATCGCTTCGTGCTTTGCCTACCCCGTCAAGCGATGCTCGCACGATGTATTAGAGAAGCACAAGTCTCAATTCATGCCCATTCCCTTCGCACGATGCCTCCCACCGCGGACGAGTTGTCGACGAAGTTGCCGCCAAATTGTTCACCCCAGAAACCCCCTTTCCACGAATGCACGACCAAAACAAACGATTGCATCACATCCATCAAACGTTCATGAAAGCGATACCTCGACGATTCCACGACGAGAAAAGTGTTCATGTCACTTGCCATAACATCCGAGTAATTTTTATTGCCGTTCTGTATACTATGTCAACCTTCCAATTTCCATTCAAAGATTTTTTTGCATCGCAATCGTTGCCGACCAATCACATCGTCGTGTACAGATTGCACCCGTCCGAGCAATATTGCTGGAATGAGGTTTTGATGGCGAAAAGGTACCATCCAATCATAAAGCTTCGTCGCCAAAATGCCACTGTGTGATTGGTTACCTTCGATTTTCCTGTGTAATCTCGAATTTTTTCCGCCAATCAGCATGCGGGCCATTTGAGTTGCGTTTCAAAAAATCGAATGTCGCCTGACGAGAAAGGTGGGGTCAATATCCAACTCGCCATGAGCACTCGCAGCGGCCGCAGCGTGACCAAGGTCGAACGATTCGACCCCACCGACAAGAAGCGCAGCGTTGATCAATCGAGCGAGGAAGACGACGAGCCCAAGGTGACAAAGAAGACCAAAAAATCCGCTGTCGCGGCCAAGAAGGGCCCAAAGCGAAAGTTGTCCAAGAAGAACGCGGACGGCACGCCCAAGCAAAAGCGCCCGCTGACTGCATATTTCCTCTTTATGGCAGAAGAACGCCCGATCGTGATCAAGGAACAACCTAGCTTGGGCGCGAAGGAAGTGATCTCGGAATTAGGTGCGCGGTGGAAAGCCCTCCCGGACAACAAGAAGCAAAAGTTCGTCGCGGCCGCTGCCAAGGCCAAGGCAGAGTATGATGCCAAGAAGGTAACGTCGGACAAGCCGAAGAAGACGAAGAAGTAATTCATCAGTGTAGCGTTGGCAGCGTTTTGTGTGACTTATCCAATTTCCTTCGTATTAATAACCATCCCCCCGTCATTGTACCATAACATCATGGGCACTATCGATACACGTTGCAGTGGGCGGCTGGCTCTTCCGTCGAGTGCCTTCTGTCCGTTGCCGTGGGTGAAGGTCGGTCGGAGTGGTTGCTGGATTCTGTCAGTGGCGCCAGCTTCGTTGCGTCCATGAGCAGTCGCTTCATGGACATAGGGGATCGGCGAATGTCGTGGACAGTCGGCACCATCTCGCCGTTGAACTCGGCCACGTGCTGGTGCTTGGCGATCGAGATGACGTCCCATTCCGCCTCGGACAAGTTGCGGACCGTGTGCGTGTTCTGCAATTGATAGCGGATGTTCCTGCCGATCACGCCTCCGATCGAACAACGGCTGGCCAACAACATGGCGGTCTCCGAGTCGGCGTCGTCGTCGCCGTCGAGGATGGGATCGCATGCGAACGGATCATTCATTCCATTTTCCTCCACGGTCGTCATGCGCCGGTTCGTCGCAGACGTCTGACTGGCTTGGACGTCCGTCGCGGAGACTCCACCCACTGGCTACACCGGCGGCATTCAGATCTGTGATCACTAGGCGAACGACCAACGTACCCGATATCGTTCAGACTCCTGCACGAACTGCGCGCAGAAGGCGCAGATGCGCACCAAGTCGTAGCACGTCGGCGGTCGTGCCCGGGTCGGATGGAGCTCCTTCATGTGCGGGTCCCAACTGCGGCGCAGGTCCATGACGGCTTTGTACGGCACTTGATGTGCCAGGTTGTGCTTTTGAAATGGATGGAGACAGAGGCTGCATGCGATGACGACGCGTTCATTCGGGCGCGGTGGAATGGCTTTCCCGACGCCTTGGTGTTTGAGCACCATCTCGGTCTTGTGGTGTACTTGTACCTCTTGCTGGACATGGGCAAAGCCACGACGGACTTGGCGCAATCGGACGTCGTCCGATATCCACTGCCTGGCTGCGGCAGGCTCGACGATCATGGACGAGGACGATGACTCGACCGGGGATGGAGCTGATGCCATCGCGTTGTTCAATGGCTTGCGGTTCGACGGCTGGGCGAAATCCCGCATTGCTGCCTCGATCGCTTTGAGTTGCGGCAGCCGCGCCGGTGTCTCGCGCTGCTGCGCCTTTGAAGACTTGAGCAGTCGGCCGTCTCCGCGGTGTGCTTTAGTCTGTTCGTCGTGCTGGTTGTTGGAACTGCAGCTGCTTGGACGGTCTGTCGCTGGGATGACCGCACGTGACGGCGAGGTTAGTGCGGTTTTTAGCGTGGGCGCCGAGGCACAAGTTGCCACGACTGCTGCTGACGCCGACTTTGGCCGCAGCGATGGTGACGACGCGGACATTTGTAGTGGTGTCGACCTGCCGGCTCCTGTGGATGTGGGGGGGCGATGCCGGGATGCCTTTGGCGTGACGTGAACGATCGATGGAGCCGTGGCTCGTAGCCGTGACTGTCTTTCCACCACAGCAACATGCACAAGCGCTGTGAGTGTGGATTCGTGTGGGTAGTCGTGCATAAGGCCGTGGATCCCGATTCCGTGCGCCATTTCGTACCACACGTCGGGCGATACCGACACTGCCTTGGCCGTGAGTTCCTTGGAGAACGTCGCCAGAGTGTCAAAAAGTCCATGGAACTTCAAGTGATCTTGCACGAGCAGCAGCGTGAACGCCGCGGCCGCCTCCATGATTTGAAGACGCCTGCTGACGGTTTCAACCTGAAACCGCCAACATCATTCACGTGGGCAGGGGAATTCCATGGCGGCCACGTCCCGACCGAGGTCGGCCGCAAAGAAGACGGTCCTCGCGTCCACGGGCTGCCGTCTTCTTGCGTCCATTGAGCCAGTGGACCGGAATGCGGCAGAAGGCCGACGGTTCGCTGTAAATGTGGCTGTTGCAACCATGACCGTGATGTTCCTGTAGATCAGTGGATGTAGCCCCATCGTTCGAAGAAGCGCGTCGACTCGTTGACGAAGAGAGGCGGAGGACGACCACGGACACGCTGCAAAAGTTTGTCCTCGACGCAAAGTTTCTCTTCCGCAATGGTGGGTTTGGGCTTTCTCAAAACGAGAGCTGCATCCAACGAATCACGGCCCTTGGGCGCGCCAAGGTCACCAACGTCGACCTGTCCCACATGCACTTGAGCGACCTCCTCGTCGAGTCGCTTGCGAATTACTTGAGCACCTCGTCGTGCATCGTTGTTTCGCTGAAGTACGTTGACGCATCGACGTCTGCTTGGACGGATTCACCTGCATGGCGTTCCAGCGTGGCCGGCACCAAGATCGTCCCGACTGCAGTGTTGCGTCTAGCGGCAGCGTGCGGCCCGAAAGTCGAGTTCTTCACAGCATCACGCACGCAGTTGGTGACTGCAGTGGTGCGGTCAAAGCGCGTGGTGCTACCTCGCGTCGGTGGCGATCACCTTGACGTCGCTGCGATTGCCGCCTTTGTTGGGGCAAAGAAGAAGCCGTTGGTCGAGGTATCTCCATCGATCCCTCCTTTCTCACTTCATCATGCACGCAAGCACAGGTTCTCGACCTCTCGAGCAATGATCTCACAGGCCCCGAGGGTCGACGAAACCTCTTTGGCGGCGTGGAGCTCCTCGCGAACGTGTTGGCCAAGTGCTCCAAGCTCACGCGAGTCATGTCGGTTTGAGCTGCATCACATCGCCTGTCGTCACTTCAAGTGGGTGCTATAGCCTGAACAATGTCCACCTGAGGTCGGACGGGCTCGTGCTCTTGGCGCTCGGGCTGCAGCACACGACGTCCATCCACTACTTGGAGATGGGTCGAAACGCGATCCAGACCAACGTGTCGAATCAAGTGTGCTACAACGGCATCGACTCGCTCTGCGAAGCCCTTCGCGCGAATCATTCGATCCGCGAGCTGAGGTATCGCGTCCACTCATGCACTTGGCTCATTTGCTCGAATATATGGCGCGCTCCAGTTTGCCACAGAACGACCTGGATTACACGTGCGTGACCAAGTTGACGGCGATTCTCGCCGTCAACGACACGGTCGAAACCCTCGATTTGTCGCAAAACCCCCTTGGGTCGGCGGCGCTGTGCCCCATCGCCACAGTGCTCCATGCGAATATTCCCCTCAAGTCCCTCAAGTACAGCCCACCCACCTGTCTCTTCTCTGCACGTCGCAGTCACCGGGGGCATGTCTAGTCTATCTGCCACCCAAGCCTCATGCAAGGGGTGCGTCTCGCTGGCCGACAGCCTCCTGCACAACACGACGCTCACCTCGATCGAGTGCGTTGACGCCAGTGACTTGGCATGTTTCCATCCGTCGTCACCACTCGCGCATGCCGTAGCTTGAGCCAAAACCCCGGCATCCTCGCTGTCGGGCTCACGACGTTGGCGGGAGCCATGGAACGCAATGCAACATTGACACGGATCAAGGTTTCGCCGACGGAGGAACCTGCCCTAACGGAGCCGCTCGGCATGCTTCAGCAGCTCACTGCCGCCAACGTCGCGCTCGGGACGATGCGCAAGGTGCTGTCGTCGCCCAGCCATGTCCAAGAAAACCCTCATCGACGTAGGCGCTGACGTCGTTCGATTTTGCCTCGCTGTCGCCATTTGCCCAAGTGAATTTTGTCAACAAACTGGATGCGTGGACGGAGGACGAGCTCCGGGCACTCGTGGCCAACCCATCGTTCGTTCAGGCCAAACTTTCGACGAGCCAGGTCTCGGCGCTCGAGTACTACGCGAGCCTCAACATGTACACGCCCCTCAAACGTCTCTTGTGGGCGTACGGCGCGCTCGGTCGCGAGACTGCGAGTCGCTACGCTGCGACTGTCCGTGACGACGACGACGACGCTCTGTGGAACGACCAGGCGCTCGTGGATTTGGCTCCACTGTGCTCGTTGTGACCACGACAGGAATATACACAGAGGTCGTGCTCGTTAGTCTAATGCACCACCCGTGGGTTTCCCAGGTGGTTTCGAACTTTGTTTGCATTGGCGTTTGATCGACCGCGGGGACGACGAGTTGTGGGATGCCGTGCTTGCATCGGACAAGTCGCCGTCGTCGGCGTGCGCGTCGCGGACAAATTTGACGGCCGCCGCGGACCTCGCGCTCACGAGTTGAGTGACCTGGAGTCACAAATTCCGTCGATTACCGTGTCGAGGATCGGAAGGCACCAACCTGCTCGGTGGCGATGCGGTAGTTGTATCCAGCGTCGTGCAGCAGCATGAGCGCTTCGTCGGTGCTAACGAGGCCGCGGACAAACTGGACGTCCACGTCAAGGGAACCCGAACCGTCCAAGTACACGACGCGAAAGCTGTGGTCGCCCGTGTACTCTTCCAGGACAGACAGGATCTGTTCCTTGGCCTTGTCATGCCAAGCATATACGACATTGCCCACACCGATTTGAATGCATTCGACCAGGGTGAGGAACGCCGTCAACGGAGCTGCGTCCGCGAGGCGTGGCTCCCATCTCCGTAGGCCGTGGTGGTGTGGGGTCGCTTCTGTGGCATCGACGGCTTCGTCTGGCGGAAAATCGAGGCATTCGACCACCTCGGTCTTTCGATCTGTCTTGGCGTCGATCGGGGACTTGGTCGGCTCTTGAAATGGAGGAACGTCAACTTGGCAGTCGTCCCCGAGTCGAACTCTGACACGATCTTCGTCCGTGATGAGCTTGGTAAAGGGCGATGGGAACTTCCACGCGTGGAATGCGTACCGGCAGAGATATGTGCTGCCGACGTCAGGGCTGTGGACGAGCTGGTGGTGGAACGCCGATGAAGACACAACATTGCACTTGCGAACGATCGCGGCCACGTGGTTGTCCCCCGAATACGTCGACTGGAAGATCTCTTGGTCCTCGCACTTGTGCACTTCGGTCGCTGTGGTCGCTGCAGCGTCTGTCGACGAATTGGCGCCCGAGGATGACGACTCGGGGGCCGTAATATTGTGGGGGGTCGATGCCTTTGATGGAAACTGCGCCATGATCTTGTCGCCCAAGTCCCGCGGGGTGTAGTAGTACAGCCCCGTGAACCCCACGTACGGCGACGTCCACAGCGACAGGATCTGGACGATATACAGACAGATCTCGTTCCCGAGTCGACCTGCCACTTCGACGTAATCCCCCACAGCGTATGGCACTGTGCCTGGTGGGGGCGGCGGCCGTGGCGCCGGCGGCTCAACCGTGACCTGCCTCGGCATGCACCCTCTGGATAGGCGACTTGCACAAACGATGTCGCATATCCCACTTGTCGTGCCACCAAGAGCCGGATAATCGAGACTATCCGGATAAAAGTGCCTCGTCCAACACCAGGGGAAGAAGCGCTCCAACAAGGGAGGTCGTGACACGGACCCATTCTAGGCATGGAAGATCTCGATGGTACGCTATTGAGGTCGATGGGCACTTCTTGAGTTCGTCCACGGTCAAGGAGCCGTCGTCAAACGTTGTGATGAATCGGTTCCAAAAAAGCAACTTGTCCTTGTCACTTTTTCATGTCGGTGCCTGGAGTACAACTACACGAAGGACACAAGGCATTCACTGTGTTCGAGCCTCCTCCATCCGCAACATGAGCGGACGACCATCCTACATGCTCCACCAGTCAGCGTTTGCATGTACGAATACTTGGCCTTCGCAGATGCACGGCTGAATGCTGGTACACTGCGGGACACAAATGAGGGAACGGTTACATTTTTGGAGATATCTCATCAACCAATGGGAGCTATGAGACGCCGTTTGAATATGACAGTCCAATTGGAATGCTCGACGTGTGGTCATGGCTAAAGCCAAGCAAAGCGCAACGATGCACGAC